TGAATTACTAGTAAGGAGCAGGTTACTCAAGTAATAGTGTGACATAGGCTGTTATTTTAGAGGAGTTGATTGCCAATAAGATGAGGAGAAGTGATAAGATTGTGTTGAATTTCAGCTGTTCTATGTTGACCGTTTTTGTGTTTTTCTTGTCAATGCAAAGACTTCGACTAATTTACAACTTTTATATGCACAATTAACTCGTATTTTTTTGAAGTACAAATGTGGAATCTCTCTCCTTTGTATATACAACTGCTTTGCTTCTACTATATTTTTCCTTTGTATAGGACTAATTTAGTAGACTGCTCCCTGAAATATTGATTTTCTCATGCTAACAAAGGCAGACGAACAGAAGGGTTTAGAGGATAAATGTGCTAAACAGATGGCGGAAATTAAATCTCTCAAGGCTCTAGTAAGTTTTCTTTATGTCCCTAAAACCATCTACTCCAATTTTTTTTTTTTGTGTGGTAATTACAAGGTTCTTTTGCTCTATTTACGTACCTCTCTCCAATCGTTTCCTAGGCACTTTATTTTCGCCATCTTTTAGGAATTCATGGATACTGAAACTCCAGAAAATTTAACAGTAAGAGTCTGAATGTCAATTGTAATATTGCAGATTGAAAAACTTCTGAAAGAAAAATTAGAGCTGCAAAATCTAGCAAGCATCTGTACGCGTGAGTGTAATGATGAAAGGTATGTGAGTATGTGACCATTGAAGTGTATTTAAGCTCTCTAAATTTTGCTGAAAACATGAGATTTGAGGTTTCCAATTTCAGAGGACTGGCAGAAATCAAGGAATCACAACGGAAAGCCCAAGCTCAGGCTGAAGAGCTGAAAAATGTTTTGGATGAACACTTTCTTGAATTAAGAGTGAAAGCGGCTCATGAGACTGAAACTGCTTGCCAAGAAAGGCTTGCTACCGCGAAGGCTGAAATTGCTGAATTGAGGACTCAGTTAGATCTTTCTGAGAGGTATGCTCTCTCATGTTACCACATCCAAGGTCATTCATTATATTCTTTTCACCGTTTTGGGGGCCATTAATCAGTATTATATTGTTTTCTCATTTGCAGGGAGGTTTTGGAACTTAAGGAGGGTATTAAAGTTAAAGAGCAGGAGGCAGAGGCATCCATTGCTGAAATGGAGGTACAATCATCTTTCTGCTCGTTTTTCCTCATTTTGATGTTCTTAAGGAGTGTATTAAAAATCTAAAAGTTCAAAATGCTCATGTGTCTCAATGCTCATGTGTCTCATCAATACTTTGCTTCTCTAGACTATTGGTCAAGCCTATGAAGACATGCAGACACAGAACCAACATTTGTTGCAGCAGGTGGCTGAGCGGGACGATTATAATATCAAGGTAAGTTTTAGTGTTAATAGGACACTTTGGTACTGAGATTTTTTTTTTTCATCTTTTCTCAATTCCAATCTTTGACTTTAACTATATCTAGCCTTTGAACACATTAGTTGTAGATTTCTTATTTGATCTATGATTTCAGCTTGTTTCCGAGAGTGTCAAGACAAAGCATGCTTACAACAGTCACTTATCTGAGAAGCAAGTAATGGAAAAGCAGCTACAACAGGTTAATGCATCCGTAGAGAATTTTAAAGCAAGGATTGCACATAGTGAGGAACAGGTTAGAGGAGATTTCTTGTGTAATTGTTGTAACTCTCTAAAACTGCTCTCGTCAGTGTCTTTTACTAATGCTCTTATGTTCGCAGATGAAAGGCTGTTTTTCTGAGGCTTATAAATTGATTCAAGAAGATCGTCACCTCGCTATCAGCCTCGAAACCACCAAGTGGGAAGTAGCTGATGCTGACAAGGAATTCAGATGGCTCAAGTCTGCTGTTTCTTCATCCGAAAAGGAATATGAACAGATCAGTAGGAGGACAAACGACATCAAACTGGAATTGGATGATGAAAGGTGGACCTAAAAACAGATCTCTTGTTTGAACTCAATTACTATATTATGACAGATTGATATAGATTCAATCTATGGAACAGGAGGGAGAAGAAGAAGCTTGAGGAAGAGCTGATGGAGTTGAACAAGGAGCTTGAAGAGTTGGGTTCTGAGAGTGTAGAAGCTGCAATAGTGAGACTCCAGGAAGAAGTTAAGAATTGCAAAAACATCCTCAAATGTGGCGTTTGTTTTGATCGGCCTAAAGAGGTAACAATGCTCATAACAATCCTATTTCTCACTGTCTAGGCAGACATAATGATTTGATAATCCTTTCTCATCATTGTCATAATCAACATCAATAGTCAATTATCATGCATCATTTTTCAGCGCATATCAACAACCGCTTTTTGTTTGAAACAACATTTGCAGGTGGTAATTGTGAAATGTTATCATCTCTTCTGCCAGCAATGCATCCAACGTAGCTTAGAGATCCGACACCGGAAATGTCCAGGCTGCGGTACCGCCTTTGGTCAGAACGACGTCCGGCTTGTCAAAATGTAACTCAAAACATTCACACATGCACATGGTGTTGGTACATAACAAACTTAATTAAGGTCCACACAATCTCATCTTCCTACCCATCCTTCAATAACATTGTAAGATTGGTAGTTAGATATGTCATATATGTATCGGTTATAACACCGAATCTCTGGTTTTTGTTTCCAGCTAAGAGGGTGATGAGAAATTAGGTGGGTTCTTTATGGAGAAAGTGTAGGTTTTAGGTATGTGACAGTCGTGTTTGTGTTACCTCCATTTATGCCTTGGTTTTATGACATAGGGACCGACAAAGACATCACAAATGGACGGAGCTAGTTAAATTTTGTATTTTTCTCAAAACAATCTAAAGAATTATGTGAAAAAAATTGATCAATAGTTGGTGGATTATAATGAAACTAATCTATAATTGGGATTAGTAAAGTGATGTTTTGTGAGATAGCTATTGTTAGGTAGAGATAATGTCTTATATAAAGATCAAAGATACATAGACCTAATGAACCGGTAACATTTAAGGCTCTTAATGCACGTGAAGATGACATAACCAGATAACCTCTTATCTACGATAATCATTTTTGTAGTGAATCTCCTTTTGATTAAGAAATGTTGATATGACTACGTTACTGTTTTAGTACTTAGTACTGTAGGAAAAGGCTTCAATTTTCATTCTGCGAAATATCATTCAAAATTAAAAAAGATTGCACTTGTTTTTCAAAAAATAACCCATTTATTGAACGAGTAAAATGTTGGTGTGTTATTCCCCACTTGATTAAATTTGTTTGCCAAATAATTAAAAACCATTAAAGGTTTGACCGTGGCTTGTAGAGAGAAACTAGTGCCAACCCTTCAAACCTGAAAGTGTTCTTGGGTAAAAACTAATATATTAAAAAGAAACATATAGTTTATATGATCCATGTAACTATGAAAACCTTTTAGCAAAAGAAAAAAGTATTATGTATAGTGTCTTTTCACAATATCTACGTGTAGTGGTAACTAAAAATACTTATACGGGATATAGCTTTTAATTAGGGGTAATTGACTCTTATGCGTGTAGATATTTTTAGAAACTTAGCTCAATAAAATCAAACTTGTATGTATGCATGCATCTCGTGAGGAATCTATGAGAACAAGGTCAAGACCAAAAAAAAAGAAAAAATAATACATTCATTTTTTTTTTTAATCTACCCTCAAATGTACCATTTACGTATGTACTCAAAAAAGTGATCTTAATCAACCAAATTTCCAAGCTCTTTGCCTCTTTATCTTATAGTCATATAGGGAAATAGGTACCTATCGTTTTCCATCGACTGTTTGTAGACTATAGGAAAGTAACTTACCTATATTGGCCAAAATAGAAAACTTAGCTAGGATTTTAGATCCATGAAAAATGTAGTTTATAAGTTCATTCGGTACAAACAAAAATTCGTTTCAGTTTTACAAAATCTGCATGCAACTATGCAAGAATAGCACCAAGCTTGATATTATACAAAACTAGAGCCAGGACAATAATTCGAATGGCTTAAATTTTAAAAAATCACAATCACATGCATTTGAAATTGCAGAGTTCCTAGGGCTCGACCACCATTAATTGCTCTCATAAATTTTGGGCTTATCATTTTAGCCATCTACCTTCAAAAATTATGATTGTATCATGCAGACGTATGGTTCAAAAAATGGAATAATATGATTGAAATAACATCAAAACAATATGGTGAAATTAATTATTGAAATAATTGATATAATAGAAATGTTGCGATGTGACACCACCTTCAATCTCTATCAATATGTTTATATGAATTGATCTCTATCCAATTATTCAGGATCCAAAATCATTATTCAATAAATTGTAGATTTGGTATTTTGAAAAAGTATCAAATTAGGGAGTTCATGCTAGTAGTTATATCCACATGTGTATATAAAACATTTGATCTAGTAGTTGGTTTTTTAAAATTATTTACATATGTCCTCGACAGGTTAACCCAATTGATCTTTTCAAATATTTATTGACCCACATGTACTGTGGACTGTCTACTTTTAGAGATTCACACTATTTCATAAATCTTATCAAACTATAACCGGCAAAAAAAGTCATAATATGGACAAACTATTTCTTTTGGCTGGAAAAAAATATCTACCATTTCACACTAACAATCAAAAGACTGTCTATTTTCAGGAAAAAAGACAAAATACCCTTAAGGTTTAAACCCCAAAAAATTAACCTCGAAACCCGCTAATAAAATCAGTTAAGTCCAATTGATATGTGCTAACGTTTTTGTTGTTTTCATTTTCTCACCAATGATCTGGCTGATTCCTTTGAAAAAAAATTGTAAGTCATCATTAACACTCAAATATATACACACGTTGAAAAATTATTATCTTGAGCAATAAATGATCCCATCATCCAACCAATTACGTCGACACTCACATAGCCATATATATATATGATCATACAATGATACAAAGAGACTAAAGGACACGTTTCTATCTAGCAAACATTGTATTATCAACACAAACATATATAGAAATCTAGAGAGCACAACACATCGAACCATGGAGCACTCAACAAGAAGCCTATTCATAACCATCGTGATAACCTCCATGTTGCTAGGGTTTGGAAACTCTGATCTGGCTCAGGACAGAGAGGAGTGTACGAACCAGCTCATAGAACTCTCGACGTGTATTCCGTACGTTGGAGGAGACGCCAAGGCTCCAACAAAAGATTGTTGTGCAGGGTTTGGCCAAGTTATAAGAAAGAGTGAGAAGTGTGTTTGCATATTGGTCAGAGACAAAGATGATCCTCAACTTGGTATCAAGATTAATGCATCCCTAGCCGCTCATCTTCCCACGGCTTGTCATGTAACGGCTCCTAACATCACCGACTGTATTTGTAAGTCTTTAATTATCTCTCTCTTGTTATATGTGTAGACATATAGCTAGCATCTTATTCTTAAAGTTTAATTGATTGTTTTAAAGTTTTCTGAGGCTCATTTTTTATTAGTGTGTATAATAAGGATATATATTGATTGTTTTTTTTTTTTTTACTTTTGAGTTTTGAAAGTCGATTTTTTGGAGATCACATCCTAGGTATAATCCATGGTAAAATGTACAGTTTTACAATAAATATGATGGAGAATTCTACATTTTAGCTGTTATACTATTTGGAAATGACAGAAGTTTATATATAATATGTATCATGAAGTTTTTTTTTGTTTTTTGTTTGGTTAATGATCATGAAGTATTCTTATTTATGAAGCTTTAATTTTAGTTATAGTATGTACAATATACTTCTTCTTTTTTGTTTTTTTAGTTTTTATCTAATTTTGATATCACATATTAGGTAAACCATGTGGTACAATGTACAGTTTTATGATGTAGATTATGAAGTATATATTCTTCATTTTAGTTGTTATATACCATATGGAAATTAATTTCTTACAACAACAAAAATAATTTGCAAATTCAATTGATTTGATAAATTAATGATATGTATTTTTCTTATAACCTACAAACCTTTTAATTAATTACTGTGAAATTTAAATTTAAATTAGTTAACTGTTTTGTGTTTGCATTTTTGATTAATTGGAAAAGCGATTCTGCATTTACCTCGAAACTCAACATTGGCTAAAGAGTTTGAGAGCTTAGGAAGGATTGAAGAAAATTACAACTCCACATCTCCTTCAAATATTCATAAAGGTAATTAACTTTAGTTATTCATTTCTTTTACTAAACCATTAATCTATAATCCCACAATAATGTATAATTAGATGGATTTTTAATTACTGGAGTATTACAACTACTGATTTTATAATTTCTTTATATGATATATAGATGGGACAGGAGGAGGAAAAGCTGAATCAGTGAAGAGTAATGGATGGAAGAAGAAGAGTTGGTTGGGTGTTGAGCTTTTAATATTTGCTAGTTTCTCTCATCTTCTTTTAATTACTTCCTCTATTTAATGTTCCTTTGCTTGATTAATTATTATATCTATGAGACACATGCATGTGTATGCATATCTATGCATGTAAATGAGTCACAAAATTGTAATCGAAGCGTACAATTTATTTCGTTGTTGCCAACTGATCTTGTACGCCATGGATTATCGACTTACTATGTCTTTTTTATTGTTGTATTTCTTATATTTTATAGAATTAATTAATGATGAAAATGTAATGTTTTCATTTGTCTTACTTAGTTTTAATTTGTTTTCTCTCTAAAATCGATTTCTCTCTAAATTCGATTTCTATTAAAAACTCTTTCACTTCTATTTGTCTACTCCAAATGTTGCTATGTTTTAAACTCATTCAAAAAATTGTATATGAAGTCCATCTAAAACAAAGTTAGTATATGAAGTCCCTCTAGTAAGTTTTTTAGTACGAAGAGTACTAAATTTGGATACAAATACAGCATTGGGTATCTTCTGGGTCTTTCTAATCGGGCCAAAAATGGTATCCACAACAGGCCCAATAGCGAAGAAAATTAAATACTGTGAATGTCGTACACGTGGCAAGTCAAACTACAAAAGAATCTTACCATTGTTTTTGTAATTCCCAATTTACCCTCAACGTTTCTGTTATATTACGCCTCTTCTTTCTCTCAGTGTCAGCCACCAATGGCTTCTTCTTTGCTTACACTCCTCTGTCTCGTCTTCCTCTCTCTCTTATGTCTCTCCTCCTCCCTAAATCTCCGCCGTCCAATCTTCCCTCAAAATAATGGTCTCGATCTCTTCTCTTCTCGAAATCTCGACCGTCCATCTCTCGCCGCCGATGACATCCACGATCTTCTCCCACGCTTCGGATTCCCGAAAGGTCTTCTTCCGAATAACGTCAAATCGTACACTCTCTCCGACGACGGCGATTTCACCGTTGACCTGATTTCTAGTTGCTACGTCAAGTTCTCCGATCAACTAGTTTTCTACGGCAAGAATATCGCCGGAAAACTCAGTTACGGATCTGTTAAAGACGTCCATGGAATCCAAGCTAAAGAGGCTTTCCTTTGGTTACCAATCACCGCCATGGAATCTGATCCAAGCTCTGCCACGGTTGTCTTCTCCGTTGGATTCGTATCCAAGACTTTACCTGCTTCCATGTTCGAAAATGTTCCTTCTTGCTCAAGAAACCTAAATCTTCAAGATTCTTGAATCCACCTTAAGCGATTTCAAGATTCTCAAATCAAACGATTCATTCCTCCTTTTATGTTGGTTTTGTATTTCAGAAGTATATTCAAATTGGATACTCAAATCGGATTCAAAAATGCGAATATTTTGCCCTAATCAGATTATGTTATATTGCCAGAAGAGCTATGAGACGAAAGATTTAAGATTTACAAATCACAGAAGAGCAAATGTCAACAAAACGCTATAACAAATTGCCAAAACCATTAAAGAGATTCCTATAAATACTAACACAGATTTTAACACCAGAAGAAATGGTGAACCCACCTCACTGTCTTGCTCTCTCTTCGTCTCTCATGTGATCTGTTAAGACCGGACATGAGTTCTTGTCAATGGTCACTGTGAAGACGATTCTCATTAGTATTACTCTGGAACAGGTCTTGAGCCAGATTTTGCTTTTTTTCCTCCTCTTCTTGGAAGCTCAAGGTGGTTGGTTTCTTCGGAACAATTTGACTCCATTGTTGAGTTTCAGAACTTTTTTTGTCAGGCTTGAAGCACTTGGCAATGCACAATATGGCTCTTTAAAGCTCTCCCTGCAATACTCGACCATATATTACTGAGAATGCTCTTGGACTGTCCTTTTACGGCAATGTTTTCCCACAGTCGAGGGTTGTTTTTGTCAGGATTCGAGACATCAACCAGACTCATGCTCATGTTGTTCCGGATTATACAAAGTTTATTGTGTAGAGGAACAAGAGCCGCAGCTTCAAGCGACTTTGAGTTTCCCAAATGAGCTTTACTGTCCATGAATTTGTTCCATGAATCCGTGGATTCATCAAATACCCTGAGTTTGCATCCGTCCCTACAATCCAATCCGTAAAGACGACCGTTTAGAGAAGTACATGGGTTTCGCCAACCAGCAACCATCCCATCACTAACCGGGCTCCATGAATTAACTTCTGGGTCATACGCTTCACTCATGACTAGTTGGTGAGACCCAAGACCCTTGAGAAACCACTTTTTATCATAAACGACACCAATAAGAGGCACCATCGCTGTGCTCATATCAGCAATAAAACTCCATCTGTTCTTGTTTGGATCATAAACCTCAGCTGAGCGGAGTGTCCTTTGAATTCCTTCACACTCCCCACCCGCTACATATAAACAATTGTTTATGACACAACAACCAAAGAAATGCCGCTTCCTAAGCATATCCGGTGCCCTGTGCCACTTATTCGTCCTTGCATTGTAGAAAATGACTCTCCTCATTGACCCTCTTAGAGGATCCTTACCTCCAAACAAATAAAGATGACAACCACTTAAAACAGCGCAACCAAACCCAACAGCCTCTGAATATTCCCTTGGAACAGGTGGAAGCGGCTGCCAAAGCTGAGATATTGGATCAAACGTATTCCACGAGATCTTCCCATCGCGATCTCTTTTAAAAACATAAACCCATTCTTCAGACATCCCAAGTAACTTCCTCTGAGAGTAAAAGAAGTTCCCAGAAGCAAGCCTATACCATCTCTTACACACTAGCCTGAGTTTTCTATGTTCTGCACGCGGGACACGAATGAGGCAAGCGACAGCTAGATCGTCCGGGAGGCCAGGGAGAAGCGGAGGTTGAATTCTCGTCCTCTCCCTCTTAGAATTCTTACGCCTATGCGCATTAGGATTAATATCAGGTTGAATACAAAGCTTTGAACCAGGAACAAACTTCCTTGCTTCTACAACAGTCTTAAGACCAGAATCTACTCTACAATAGCAAGAAACAGAATCCACCTGCAAGATTCCAATCTCAGAAAATCAAAAAGAGAGGTCCACAATAATTAAACAAAGATGCATTTTTGCAATTTAGGGCAGAAAAAATAGTCAGAAACAGTTCCGGAACAAGAGTCAAAAACTACCAAATTTGGAGAATTTTAGCTAGGGTTACTGAAAAAGGAAACAAATTGAAGAAATTAAAAGCAAAATCATGTCAAAAGTCTAAACATTTCCCAGAAAACTCGTGATGGGTATCTTCGATTATATTTAGCGAAACCTAACAATGGAATCGAGAAACGAAGAAAAGGTAAGAACTTACCAATGGAGCTTGAAGACGAAAACCCCTAGAACCATTTGGGGATTGCCGTTGAGAAGATAGATCCATCTTCAAAACCCCAAGCTCATAAGAGAAGAGAAAAAAACAACAGATCGAGAATTCTCAAACTTGAAACTTTATCAGATCAAAAACCCAGAAAACAAATGGTCCAATCTCTCAGTGTAGTCGGAGATTAGACGAAAACGTGAACCACCTTCCACTTCGCTCTCTCTACACGGAAAATGGGACTGGTAGGTCTCTCTCTCTCTTCTCGGGAAACAGAAGTAAAAGCTTAGGTATTAATAATCTAGTGTTTTTTTTTATTTTTGTAATTACAGAATCTAGAGTTTATTGAATGAATGATTAAAAATATTTTATTATCGACCTTGAAATTAATGGAGCTAGTAAATAGTCAAAAAGGTGAAGATTTGTTTTTTTCTGTGGTCAACCATTTGTAAGATTAACTGGACAAACATAAATCTTAAATTTGATAAGTGATAACACATTAAATTAATCTAAATATATCTATTTTTTATATCTATTTCAATTATTTATTTTTATTTAAGTTATAAAGTCACTTATTTAAGGGAGCAACTTAAAGATTGTGAATGATAATTTACCGGTGGAAAGAAACATTGATTATTTCCATGTCAATATGCGCTAACTTTTTGTTGAAAAGTGAAGAACTAAAGTTTTTAGATTTGGTATTTCAAACCACACATCGATCATTCATTCAACTTTTTATTATGAAAATTCATACTACTATTAAACGTCAAAATTATGTTTTAATGCTTAATTGTAGTAAGAAGTTTTAAAATGGACAAGCAACTAAAACCGTTGTACTTATGACTAAATGGCGGAATCTGTCTTATTTAATATATAAATTGTTTGGACTAATTGATGCCTTACGAATGGTATGTTTGGATTATATAGTATCTACCATAAATTTTTAATTAAATTTAATTCGAATACATTTAATTATACGTCAATTTTTCAACCACTTCATCAAACGATTTTAAAAGAAGGGGACGATTTTGTCGTATGGAATGGGACACGGAATATTTAGAATACATATACCAAAATTTTCAAATATTAGATGTATAGCAGTAGAATACATACAAAAACGATATGTCTATCCATAATAATAATTGAGGAGTACAAGGATATTTATCAAAATGTTCCCTTTTCTCTTTAAGACGGCAACGAATTAAAAAGAGAGAGCCAAACATGAGTTAAAAATCACAGTTTTTTTTTTCAATATTTAGATGAATCATATTTGTTTGTGCAATTTTTTTTGTTATTTGTATTTGTTTGATATATATTTTGAATTGATAAGTATAAACTACTGCGGAGTAGACACAGAAAAAAAAAGAGTTGAAGTGAACGTTCTCAAAGAAGAGCTCTCACTGGTGGTAGCGTGAAATGAGAGATTTTCGAGTTCATAAAGATCTTAGAGATAATTTCACATTTTGTTGATACTTTTCTAATAACTACAATTTATCCCAACAATAATTTAGTCATTTTCTTTTGGGTATACTAGAGACTAATATGCTACTTGATCGACAAAAATCAATATTGTTCAAACTTGATAGTATGTCTTCGATATAAATTTTCGAGTTAACATTATGTATATATTAAAAAAAATGTTTAGAATATTTGAGATAAACATACGGACAATATATCATTGATATAAAAATGTGACACAGTACAATACAACTAATATAAGTATCTAAGTATTAGTATGGTTAACCTAACAAAAATGGCATCGTTATACACATTTAGCTCATCCTTTTCAACCAAACCTTACGTAGAGTAGAAACAATGTTGTCTTATTTCTAGATACTTAACTATTATTTTGAGAATTCTGACCAAATCAAAAACAAAAAAGAAGTAACAATAGGATTGATATTTATAAAAATAGAAAGGTAGATGATGAGTGTCAAGCACAATTATATGCATGTCAATGGACCAATGATGGCAACAGGCAAGAGTTACGACTTAAGAGATGATTTTTCAACACCACTTTATATATTTTTATACAAATGCATAAAAGTAAATTTGACCATAATTTCATAAACATAATGGTAGTTAGTAGTTATGATATAAAAGTGTCTATCTTAAATTCAGAAATTAAAACCTTACCCATGATAAATTTTCTACCCCTAATTTTACTTTTAATCATAGTCATGGCTTGCCCAATTAATTCTTTGACAATGACATCCCACTAAACCCTCAAGAAAACAAATTGATTTGGTATGCCATACACTTTCCTATGTCCTTGATATTATGCATTCTTCAAAAATGTTACAAAAACATTGGGTCAAAGTCAATGATAATACATAGAATTGTATAAGAATCAAACTATGTTTTGGTGAATTTATACCAACCTATAATGAAATGGGAAAAAAAAATCCAAGATAGAAACACAAACTAACCTTCAAAATCTGCAGTTACTAAATAAATAAATCCATAATGACTAAAAAGATATAAATTTAGTAAATATTGATACATGATTTTGAATGAGTAAATGATGATCAATGGACTACCCAATGGATATATGTATATACATTGATATGATCTATAAAAATTGATATCTATTTTATTTTTATGTGATGTATCTATTCTTATTTACATATATAGCTGTTATATACAACGAAGTCATGTACAAACACAGATCACTGGTTCTCGTAAGAGTTAAGAACCATCCTTCAAGGGCTTAAACGCAGCCAAAACAACGGCTACTTTGCATACGAGAAACCCCAAAGTACCCACCACTATCTCTTTTGGTGTGACTGCAAATGCAGTGAGCTCTCCTCCAATGTGACCTCTCACGGCTAAAACCGTCAATCCTATGGCCAATGCAAGGCTCCAAACCGGAATATTGAGTCCACTGAGTATTTGATCAGAGTTTTCGAATGAAGAAGATCCCGGTGCTTGCAATTCATCGACTGATCTCTGTAAGAGCAGCAAGTAGAAAAATCCCATTGTTCCACCGAAGAAGAAAGCAATGGCGGAGTTTTCACCAAGTGAGAAGGAAAAGACCAAACTTCCAAGAAGGGTGAGAATCGCATCATAGAGAAGCAGAGAGCGTTTCAAGTTTGCGTATTCTTCCATGCTTTCCTCATTGGAAACCGTTGTACGGTCAAGATCCATAGCTGTAAACGAAGAGATTTGATCGAAGTCGGCGAGTTCAGTAATACGGGTAGATCTGAGTTCCACCATTGATAGGTCACTGCTCTCTCCAAGCAAGATTTCATCAACTTCAAAATCATATCGGTAACAGAAAGTTTCTGCATCGGTTTGTCCAAGAGAAAGTCCTTCACCGCGAGGATTAACCACTAATAGAGAACATGAGCAAAGAGAATCTGTGAATCGTTTTCTGTATTTCTCAAGAGTAAAGTTGTTACAAATGTAATCTTATATACATCTAAGATTAAACCAACTATACAGTAAACCGTAATCTAATTAACTTAACCAAGAATAGTAAACCGGTCTATATACATACTCTAATAGCCCCCCTCAAGCTTGAGCTTCAAAAATGTTGAGGATGCCAAGCTTGTTGTTGTTTGCTTTGAATAGAGCCGGATACAAAGGTTTGGTCAGAATATCAGCTAACTGATTATCAGTTCTGACAAACATAGTCTTCAGAATACCTGCTTCCATGCATTCTCTCACTTTGTGACAATCAAATTCAATGTGTTTTGTCCTTTCATGGAAAACAGAATTGCTTGCAATATGCAGAGCAGCTTCATTATCACAATAAAGATAAGCTGGAGGTTGAAATGGAACCTTAAGAGCAGAAAGAAGGTATCCAAGCCAAATAATCTCTCTTGTAGCTACACTCATTGCACGATATTCAGCTTCTGCAGAACTCATAGATACCACATCTTGCTTCTTAGATCGCCAAGAAACTAAAGAATTACCAAGAAAAATGGCAAAACCAGTAACACAACGTCTAGAATCAGAGCAAGTACCCCAATCAGAATCAGAAAATCCTCGCAGATCAAAGTTAGCATCAACACCATAGAAGAGTCCCTGACCAATAGTACCCTTCAAGTATCTTAAAACTTTATGAAGAGCCTGAAGATGAATATCATTGGGAGCAGAGGAATATTGAGCTAGCTTTGAAACAGCAAAGGTAATATCAGGGCGTGTGATACACAAGTATTGAAGACGCCCAATAAGTCTTCTATATTGTTTAGTGTCAACCAAAGGAGTACCAGTCTCTGTTGAAATCTTCTGGTTAGGTTCCATAGGAATAGAGGATGGCTTGCAGTCAGAAAAACCAGTAGATTCTAGCAAGTCAAGAACATACTTCCTTTGACTTAAAGATATGCCTTGATCAGTCCTTGCAATCTCAATTCCAAGAAAGAATTTAGGAGGACCAAGATCTCTTAATTGGAAGGCAGAACTCAACTGCAGTTTCAACTCACATACTGCTGCATCATGAGTACTAGCAATCAAAATGTCATCCACATACACAAGAACCACCAGAAAATGACCATTGGCTTCCTTCACAAACAAAGTATGGTCTCCATGGCATTTATCAAAACCAAAACTCACCAAAGTACTGGAAAATTTTAAGAACCATTGGCGAGACGCCTGCTTAAGCCCATAAATGGATTTATGTAATCGACATACTGCATTAGGAGAAGCTTCTACTCCCATTAGCTCATTGTAACCAGGGGGTAATTTCATATACAGTTCCTCAGCAAGGTCACCATTAAGAAATGCATTAGAAATGTCTAATTGATGTAAAGACCAATGCATCTTAGGTGCGAGGGAAAGAATAAGCTTCACTGTGGCCATTTTGGCAACAGGAGAAAAGGTGTCAATAAAATCTATTCCCTCTTGCTGAGTATACCCTTTGGCTACAAGCCGAGCCTTGTATCTTTCAATGCTTCCATCAGCATGAAATTTGATAGTGAATACCCATTTACAACCTACAGCAGTCTTCCCTGGAGGTAGATCACAGATGCTCCAAGTTTCAGTTCTTATAAAAGCACCAATCTCCTTTCCCATAGCATCAAACCATTCCTTGACATGCTTAGCTTCTGAAAAACTTTTTGGTAGTTTTGCTTTTGTGATGATATTAATGAAAGCACCAAAAGGCTCAGATAAGTATGAATAAGAAATATATTTTGCTAATGGATATGGGGAAGTTTTAATAGGTATAGTAGGAGTATTATTATTATAACAATGAAAATCCTGCAAATGGGAAGGCAGTTTTCTCTGCCGAATTGGTTTAGATTCAGAAGGAATAGAAACCATGGAAGATGACTCATCATGATTGTGAGGAGCATCAGAAGATGATTGCACTGGAGGCAAATGTTCATCATGATTTGGTGCAGGGAGAGAAAAATGAGGAAAGAAAGTCTTTACATCATCTGAGATAGTAGATGATGCAAAAGGAAAAATTTCCTCATGAAATATGACATGCCTAGAAACAGAAACTGAGTATGTCTCAATATCTAGTAGCTTATATCCTTTAAAACCTGAGGGATAACCTAGGAAAATACAGGCTCTAGCTCTAGGATCAAATTTGGTTCTGTTTTTAGGAGAGGTTGAACTATAGCACAAACAACCAAATGCCTTAAGAGAGTTATAATCCGGGAGTTCATTTGTCAATTTTTCAAAAGGTGTTTTGTTGTCTAATACTGGAGATGGTAACCTATTGATAAGAAAGGCTGCAGTTAAGACACAATCCCCCCAAAACTGTAAAGGAATCCCAGATTGAAACATAAGGGCCCTAGCAACATTCAACAAATGCTGATGCTTTCTCTCTACAATTGAGTTTTGTTCCGGAGTTTCAGGACAAGAATGAAAGCTTTTAATTCCTTTATCCATGTATAAAGTAGTAAATTTCAATTCATTAGCATTATCCGATCTAACAGAGCAAACCCTAGTATTGTATTGAGTTTCAACAAGTTGAATAAAACCAGGAAAAACATGTAAGACATCAGATTTTTGTTTAAGCATATAAATCCAAGTTGCACGACTAAAATCATCAACAATAGTCAAAAAATATCTAAAACCATCAACAGTAGGAACAGAAAAAGGACCCCAAGTGTCAATATGAATCAATTCAAAAGGTTTTGTTCTCATATTATTAGATAACTTGAAAGGTAAATGTTTCTGTTTAGCAAGATGACAAATATGACAATGATGAGATGATTTATTAATCTTTTGTTTAGACAACTGTAAAACAGGAGAAAGAGATTCTATTTTACTTAAAGAAGGATGTCCTAATCTTTTATGCCACAATTCAGAATCAACATGAACACTAGCACAGACAGACATACCTGGTAAAGAAGAATCAGAAACATGACTAAGAGACTTATCAAGATTCAGGACATATAGATTTGCAACTTGACTACCTTGCCCAATCATTAACTCCTGAGTAAGTGCCTGAATAAAGCATGCATCAGAAGTAAAACTGACTTTAGATTTCAGAGTTTTAGTCACAACACTCACACTCAACAGATTAAATCTGAATTCAGGAATATGTAACACATTATATAGAGACAAAGCATCAGTGAGTTGAATAAAACCAGTGCCCTCTATTTTCACTGTTTGGCCATTAGGTAATCTAACATAGGTTCTCTCTAAGGCTTTGTATTCTACATAAATTTCCCTTTCATGTGTAACATGATGACTAGCCCCTGAATCTATAACCCAAGCTCTATGAGACAACTCAGTTTCATGAGGTATAGATGAAGTTAACATGTCATAATAAGTAAAGTCATAAAGAGAAAGAAATGTACCAGTTATCTGTGAGATAGATGGTACAGGAGTTGAAGTCGAAGCTATAGCTTTATCAGGGGATGGAGAGATGGTACTAGACTGGAGCTTAGAGCTGAGATAAGAGATCATCATTTGGAGTTGATCCGTAGACATATCCTCATTCATTTCAGCAGGCAAATTTTCTTTCTGAGGCAAAACCGCATCTGAACTTGTCAAATTAGTACTTCCCACATAAGTGTTCTTCTTAGCCCTTGGATGACCAGGTGGATAGCCATGTACTTTGTAGCATTTATCCACTGTATGACCAACACGAAAACAGTGAGAACACTTAGGTTTTTGAAAGTTTCCCTGTGTTGCCAGAATAGAGGTTTGTTCTTGAAGAATAGCCTGAGCTTGAAAAGCTGAAGGAGTAGACAGAGGTCTTGAATATCCAACAAGTCTTTGACTCTCATCCTGATCCAGCATATTATAAATCTCATTCAATCCAGGTCTTGGTTTCATGTTTAGTATCTGACCACGAATGTTATTGAAGTTATCATTCAATCCCATCAAAAACTGAATCACACGGCTTGTCTCTGCTTCCTCTAACAGTTCTTTAACTTGATCACAGTCACATTTCTTCACAGTACGAGTCCTTGTGTTAGACAACTGTTCCCACAATGTCTTCTTCTTCGTGAAGTATGTTGACAAATCAAGATCTCCCTGCTTGAGTGTCATGACAGCTTGTTCAATCTGATATTTCCGCGGTAGATTATTAACCTTGAACCTAGTGAACAGATCATCCCACATTTCCATCGCATCTTGGTAATAAAGAATACTATCATAGATCTCCTTGTTCACGACATTAAGAATCCAAGACTTCACCATACTATTGCATCTACTCCAGATTCGGAAACTAGAATCATCCTCAGAAGGTCTCAATAACGATCCATCAACTAAACTTAGCTTATTTTTCGCATCTAAGCTAATCTTCATCGCAATCGACCAACTGTTGTAATTAGTTCCATCAAGAATGTGAGATACAATCGTCAAACCTGGATGATCTGAAGAATGGAGAGTAAGTGGATTGTCAAAGTTCTTCGACATCGATCCATTTCCCTCAGAAGCTTCAAATCGTTGTGTGAGCTGTTGTTTCGGCATCGCAACCTTCGGATCTTCAAGAATCGCTGAGTTACGAGTAGATCTAACAACAGAACCACCATCGTCAGGTGTAGTACTTTGATTTCTCAGTTTTCCTCCCTTCTTCACCATTTTCGTCAAAATCGAGTGTGCGGAAGAACAATCAAGAGTGATAGAGACGAAGAAACGAAGAAATTGAAGAAGAATCTGAAGAAAATCGGTGAAATTAACAGGAAAAACGCAGAAAATGCTCTGATACCATAATAGAGAACATGAGCAAAGAGAATCTGTGAATCGTTTTCTGTATTTCTCAAGAGTAAAGTTGTTACAAATGTAATCTTATATACATCTAAGATTAAACCAACTATACAGTAAACCGTAATCTAATTAACTTAACCAAGAATAGTAAACCGGTCTATATACATACTCTAATAACCACCCGCAAGCTCACTCTTCCAATTCTCCATTGACCTAAATATGAAAAGCTAAGTCTCTATAATCACAAAATTTATGTACTAAAACAAGTTCTATGTCAAAAGAAACTAACCAGACTCAAGACCAATCCAAAAAGCTCTGATTTTGTCGAGTTTCGGTCCTTCAAATGTGAATTCATCAACAGAGCCTCTCTGAAACCTGAAGCTTTCACCATTTTCCACAACCTCTGGATCCAAAGATGACAAATTCGCAGGTATCGTCTGTAATACCGAATCGCCCTTTTCGTCTATCAAGCATATAAGAACTCTAGCATTCATATCACTAATCCCTGAACCAAACAAATTACTTGTCTCTAGCTTAACCTTATAAAGAGATCGAGTTTCGCTCACAGTGAAAGATGGATTCCCTCTACAAACTTTCACTTCTTCTGCTGATAACAAACGCAAAGGTCTTGCATAACTCTGGAAATCTGAAAACAGAACCCAAAGGTAACATCTTGAACAATCTACTTATTGAATTGAAAGTTTTGAATTTGATCACGGGGAAATTTTACAACAGAGTCGATGGAGAATTAGAATTGGCGTTACCTTGATAATCAGATGACTTGGAGCAAATTACACCGAATCGAAAACGATGAATTCGACAGGAAAGTTTTCTTCTTTTACGAAATTGATTTGATGGGTTTTTCGTAAACATTGCGAAAGATACGGGCTTGAGACAAATTGATTCAGTCGCCATTGCTGTTGCAACAAGAGAAATGCCACACGGCACAAAGAAGAAGAGAATGCAGAGGACCTTAAAAAGGGCATTCCATAGCATAGTGATGTCAATGTGAAACAAAACTTCTGACCCAGAGAGAGTCTCTTTGAATGTAGAGATAGCTGATACCTCCACATTTGAACCAAACCGAACTCGTAAATCTTGTAAAGCCTATATATATATTACGGAGAAACCGAAATCATTGAAAGAAACCAAAAATTTAATCTTAAAGCTTAATTACACCAAGTGTGAGTAGCTGATTTCATGTTTTCAAGAACTTCCATTGAAAGAAACCCCATTCTTCTGCAGCATCACATACGGCCTCCGAGACACTCTTCTCATCTGAATTCGACATTTCTGATCACGGGTATGGATTCGTCTGTCTCATTGTTTACGTGAAAAGTTAATTAGTCTCTCTTCGAATGGCTGAATATATTGGTCGGGAAGAATTTTGATTCCAGTGTCAGACAAACCTTTAACGCTTTTAACTTTGTGCACAACGAAGTCGGTGACTTGTTCTCAGGTTAAGAATTGGGTAGCTGAGTGTTACATTAGAGGATATTTTCTTAAGGAGGAAGCAAAACTTCTTAAGTTTAATGAAGGCGACGGCCGATGATGATTGAGATTCCAGCTTTTGATAGGTTTACCATCAACAGTGTATTGTTCTTGTTCTTTAAGTCTAGGTTTTTCTTTTACTTTCAGTACTTTGAACACAACAACTTTTCCATTGAAAAAGGTTGAAGAAGACATCATCAAACCATGGAGACATAATTATCCATGATTTTCTAAGACAGGACTTGCTCAAACTCTTAAGGTTTTGTAAGAAAAATCTCTTTCTGTAATAAACTCACATTGAATCATCAGAATCTTCTGATTCACTTCTCTCTGGCTCAACTCCTGCTGGATTACTAGTGCCTGTCTCAGGAGCTTCAGGCTTTTCAACAGGTGTAGGTGAAGACGAGACTTTCTTATTTTCATTACTAGCATTCTCGTTTGCGGCTGCTTCCTCTTGCTCATTTACCTACACAAAAAAAAGTTCAAATAAATGAAGTTACTAAATCCGAAGAGCAAATATAGACACATCATGTGTTAGAGTTAGAGTAATCTTACATTTTCTACCGTTCCTCCACTCAAGATATTCAACAAGTCTCTCTCAACCCGCTGTACAAGCTCCGGCTGCAACATTTTGGAAATCAATATGTTAATAGAAAGAACTTGAGAGTTCAAAAATATAAAGTTTCATCACAAACAGCTACATGTATCAAGATTCAATCACAACTTTCAATCTTTGATAACCAGAAGTTTCCCCCATTCTTTATTTTTTCCTGGCTCATCATAATCACAAGTATTAGTGAAACCATGTTGATGGATTGATAGTAACAAATGAAAATTACATTAAGGTCAGGCTCTCGACGAAATCTTCTCTTTCGAGCATCCTTCATTGGAGGAGTTAAACCATGTCTGTATTCAACTGTATTAGGCGCGGGATCACCCGGCTCCCTAACCATAATCATCTGTGTAACAAATCAAAACATTTATATTACTTTTTAGTCAAAATTTACAGAGCTTAACACATATAAGCAAAAAGATGGATCAAGTACATTGATTTCACCTGCCCAATATCAGCAGTTTTGACCAATGCACAATCATCATAAGTTTTCCAAGACTCAACAACAGCAGGAAGATCAAGCAGAGAAGCCGGGAACTCGTCGTTTCCAATCATAAACGTCCCGTTTCTCCCGTCCTCTGCAAATTCAATTCACACAAACATTAAATATCAAGTTTGCTCCAGAGACAATGCAAATGGATTTCTAGACAAACTTTATTCAAGAAATGCAAAAGAATGTTTTTTGGCTTCTCTGACAAAACATACAGTTCACAATTTTAAGTTGCTCCAGGAGACAATGCAAAACACAATAGTCCTTAATCAGATTCAAGAATGATGAGACAAAAATGTATTTCAGGCAAAACATCATTCAAGAACCCAACTTTCAGTACTGAGAATCAAAATCTCAAACCTATAAACAATTTATAGCCAAATATCATTGATTGCAAAAGGATAATTTCCGAGTAAAGGACAAAAATTTAAGAAAAAGGAAGAAACTTTGGGGGATTAACCCTCTATAATGCGCCAAAAGAGAAACCCTTTAAAATTGGTTACCTGAGAAACACAAATCCAAAGGGATTTCGTCGGATGTAGAAGCCTCGTCGCTCAAAAGCCGATCAATTCGTTCTGAAACAGACGGTGGAACCCTAAGTATGAACTGTTCTTCCATTAAAGGTATCACCGGCTTGACTTGAATTCTTCCTGATCTTCGCAAATTGGATTATGCAGATTGTCGTAAGTCGAAAAGAGACGAGACGAGAATCTATCGAACTGATGAAACACGAATGCTTTGTTATGTAATGTAAGAAATTTTACAAGTTTAGAAGAGAGAGAGAGAGAAAGATAATGATATAATAACCTTCTAGAAGAATCCTTTTTTATTATTTATTAATTTTTATTTCTCTCCCGATAGGTTTCAATATTTCTATTTTGACCAAAATAGTTATAAAAGGTACAAACAGCACCCAGTTGTTGGTGAAAAATCACCAATTTGCTATTAAATTCTATTGATTTTTAAATTTTTAACTGTTAGATATTTGACCATTTTGATCTTCACCGAGTAGAATAACAACCAAAAGGAAGATAATTTAATTTCCAGAAATTGTAATGGACCATCTAACTAATTTGGAAAACTTTTAGGCGGAAATAATACTTTGAAAGAATTTGAGGTGTTAAATGTAAAAAGTAAATAATATAAAGGAACCCTAATAAATAAGAGTGGTCGTTCATTGCTTACTTCCATCTTCTCCAATTCTTGCAGCATCGCTTCTCCGACGTTTATCACCACCGAATTCGTTCACCGGTAAATCTTTTCCCTGATATTTTACTCTTCTTCCTAATCGTATATACTCCTATCTTCGTCTTTCTCTGTCGAATAATCTGGCTTGTCCGACTTCAATTGTACACGGCTTCGTTGCGTTGCCCGTTGATCTTTGAGTCCGGTGAAAGATTCCGTGACGGAAACGCTGTATATTGAAATAAAGTCGGTACTTTGGTCGGTTTTCTTGTAGGATTGAAATAAAGTTGTGATCTTTTGTGCCTATTCGCATATCACGTTTCTTTGCCCCTATTTGAAATTAAATTTGAAACTGAGCATATTCGATCTCTATCTGAATTGTATGCGATCTTGTTTTGATACATTTTAGTTTTTTCAATTCGAAAAATATGATCTTTCTAGATTGAATGCTTCTTTGAAGTTCTCTTAGACGCTGGTGTTCTAGCTTTTGTTGTGTCTGTGGTCTCTTCTTTCTTAAATATCCAACCTTGTGTGTTTTCTAATATATAGAGAGGTTGAAGCTTGACTCAATGAGGGGAAGGAGCTACACTCCGTCACCACCAAGGGGTTATGGGAGGAGGGGTCGAAGCCCAAGCCCTAGAGGCCGATATGGAGGTCGTAGCAGGGACCTCCCAACCAGTCTTTTGGTTCGCAATCTACGCCATGATTGCAGGTACGTACATTGACTTCTCTATAATTTCCTTCAGCCATTGTCTTCCCGTTTAGGATGATATTAGTGTTTGCACACCTCTTAAGCTTCAAGACATGACACCTCTTAGCATATTTAGGCATCATGTTCACATATTTGTACTGTAAAGGCTTTCGTAAATTGATATATGTCCTCAGACCTATCTTGATAATTATGTAAATTCCTACATTTTTGGGGTTCATGTAAACCATAGTACTTTGTCGTTGACTTTGACGCCAATCTATCTTCATTTCCTGGCTTTTAGCAAATTGTAATTCTCTTCTTACCTCTTATCCTTTTCTTCAGGCAAGAAGATCTCAGGAAGTCATTTGAGCAGTTTGGCCCGGTCAAGGACATTTACCTGCCAAGGGATTATTATACTGGGTGAGCATGTTTTGTAAATAGAACATTTAACACTTGATTTTTACTTATGTTCTGATTAGAGAATATCTCTATTTTTTCATCTTCTTTCTTGAATCTTTGTTTACTACGTTTATCTCCCTTTCCTTTTTCTTTCTGTCATCTCTGTGTGTCTTCTCATGGATACTAGGGCCTTATGAGAATCTTCTTTAATGCGCTGATTTCATAAATCAAACTCAGGCTCCATATTTTTTCATAATTTTCTGTGACTTGAATCATCACTTGTGGTCTTAAACCACTAGTTTTTGGTGTCGTTAAAGAAAGAAGTTGGATTAGTCGTTTTGAATTTAGTACCTGTTGAGACCTCATACATTTTAGTCCCTTAAGGAGAAGGATACAATGATGATATGTTTCATGTCTGAACACACTATGAGTGAGTTAATTGAAGTTGCTGAGGTTTAGCAGTGAATCTAAAGAATTGAAGACATCAAAGAAGTAATTAGAGATCTTATGAAGATGTTCTATATGGTAGTGAAGAATTGAAGTGAAGTTGAGTTTGTATTCAATTTGAAGATGAATCAAGTCTTCAAGAAGTCATCTTTATACTGAAACTTGCAAGGCTAGCAGGCAAGTGCTTGCTTTTTTCATGTTTACTGATGTCTTCTGTTGCAGGGGATCATATAGCCAGTTGTCCTTCAACAGGATTGTTGTAAAGTGGTACATCTTCCTCGTCATTTTGTATGTTTGGTTTCTAGGCTGAGACCTTTTTTGTTCTACATTTTAAATGCAGAGATCCGCGAGGGTTTGGTTTTGTTCAATTTATGGACCCTGCTGATGCTGCTGACGCAAAACATCACATGGATGGTTATCTTCTTCTTGGCCGTGAGTTGACTGTCGTGTTTGCAGAAGAGAACAGGAAGAAACCGACTGAAATGAGAGCAAGGGAGCGTGGTGGAGGAAGGTGCATGGAGCTTTCTCTTTTTGAACTTTTTTGTTTATCGTCAAATATCAAAAACTCAATAGTTAACATCTTTTTTTGTTCGTAGGAGCAGCAGATTTCGGGATAGAAGGCGTACTCCTCCTCGTTACTACTCTCGCTCTCGTTCTCCTCCCCGTCGACGTGATAGATCTCGGTCACGTAGCGGTGACTATTATTCTTCTCCCCCTAGAAAACATCACCCAAGGTTTCTAAATGTTTCTGTCTGAGCTCAATTACAAATTTCTCCACCCGATTGATGCTTGTATGCTCACTAACTGTCTATTGTCACAGATCTATCTCGCCCAGGGAGGAGCGATATGATGGGAGGAGGTCATACTCGCGTTCACCTGCCTCTAATGGCTCAAGGGGTCGCAGTTTAACTCCAGCCAGAGGTAATAGCCGCAACTTAAGCCCCAGCCCTAGAAGAAGCATAAGCCGTAGCCCAAGAAGAAGCAGGAGCCCGAGCCCGAAGAGAAATAGGAGTCCTAGCCCGAGAAGAAGCATAAGCCGTAGCCCTAGAAGAAGCAGGAGCCCGAGGAGAAGCAGAAGCTACACTCCTGAACCCGCCAGAAGCAGGAGCCAGAGCCCGCATGGGGGGCAGTATGAAGAAGACCGCTCGCCAAGCCAGTGATTTGTTAGTCTTGTCTAGATTATGGTTGTGTGGTGTACCCTTATCCTAAGACAAAGTTTAGAACTAAAAGGATGAGAAATTTTATGTAGGGTGGAATTTGGCTTTTTATGTTTTGATCTATGGAGTATGGAACATGGTACTGTTAGTATTGACTATTGAGTTCTTTAAGATATAATCTCAGGTTATTATAAAAGTTGCAACGTTGGTCAGGACAAGAGGAAGCTTTTTAGATTACTTGCAAGTTACAAGTATAACAGCTCTAGTTTATTGTTTCCGTCATGTCAGCCAAAGCAATATTTTTAAGAGATCCATCCATCTCATCAATAAGCCACGTTTTGGAAATGGTGCATCGAAGCCATCTTTTTGGTAATATCTACCATTGGATTGCTAACCTTAATGGTCCTTCTGATTAAATATCCTCGTTCTCTAGACCTAGAAGAATTTGTTGGCTTGAGTCAGAATCTTTAACAATTTTTAATTCTTGCAGCCGTGTTCAGTGGAAACGGTCAAGATGGGTAAAATTGGTTTCTTTGATGACTCGAGAACTCAGCAGAGCCAAAGAGTATGGTCCGATGTTAACTGAGGAGTTGGGGTTTCCTTCATAAAGATGAGACCTTTTCTGTTTTAAAGCAAAACAAAACAAAAGATGAGAATTTTCTAATGAGTAGTGAAGCACGGTTTTGAGACGAAGTAGCATAAATTGCCATTTGGAGCATTCTTGTCCACATAGTCTACCTACCAGTCTACCACCATTGACAAGCTTCAAACTTTAAAGCATCAAAAAGACGATAACTTGCATAGAGAGAGAGAGATGTGGAAGAGCGTAGGAGAATTGAGTTGCGATGATTATGTCAAAGCTGGATTGACTTTGGAAGACGCCAAGGGATTTGACATATTGGTGAGGGATGTGATTTCAAAGGCTATAGAGACTGATCCAAGAGATCAATGGAAAGCTTTGGTAGGTGAGAGTGTGCTAAAGCCATGGCATCCTCATCCTCTGCATCAGCTTCTTTACTACTCTGTCTATTCAAACTGGGACTCCTCTGTTCATGGCCCTCCTCTCTATTGGTTTCCTTCTCTGTACGTCTCATAAACTTGTTCGAAATTCTGAAATTTACCTGTAAATACAGCTGATTGTCTGAAATCCTTAGTGTCTTGTCTTTTTATTCTTTGTGTGTGTTTAGATCTCAGTCAAAATCAACAAATTTGGGGAAGCTGATGGAAACTCACGGGTCAAGACTTCTTGGTGCTTCATATAAAAACCCACTTGAAAATTTTGAACTTTTTCGGAGATTCTCAGTTGAACACCCTGAAGTAAGTATTGATGTTGAAAAAAATAATCTTTGTGGCAGCTCTGGTTTGGGCTAATTTAATATCATTTTCAGGTTTATTGGTCAGTTGTTATCGATGAGCTTTCAATTGTGTTTCACACTCCTCCGAGGTGTATCCTTGACAAATCAAAACCTGGAGGGACTTGGCTCCCTGATGCTGTTCTTAATATCGCTGAGTGTTGTCTGTTGCCTTCAAGTCATCCCAAAAAGGAGGATGATAGTGTGGCTGTTGTATGGCGTAATGAAGGCTTTGATGATTCTCCAGTCAGTCGAATGACATTAAAAGAACTCCGCGAGCAAGTAATGTATGTAACATGAAAGTCTTTTATCAATCATTTTGTTGTGTGATCTCATTATTAAGCTTCCAATGGTGGTTTTGATACATATACTTGAAAAGGTTGGTGGCAAATGCGATAGGTGGAAGTTTTGAGAAGGGTGACACAATTGCAATCGATATGCCAATGACAGTCGATGCGGTGATTATATATCTCGCAATCATATTAGCTGGTTGCATTGTTGTCTCCATCGCAGACAGCTTTGCAGCTAAAGAAATTGCAACACGGTTGAAAATTTCTAAAGCAAAAGGCATATTCACTCAGGTTTGTGCACACAGCCTGACTCATATCTTTTCGCCGTGTATCTATCCCGTACCATGACAGATATCTCTTATTGCGTTTTCAGGATTATATACTCAGAGGAGGTCGAAGATTTCCTTTATACAGGTGACAAAACTGATCTTTATGTGGTTGTTTTTGCAACTTGACGACCCATAATTATATCTTTCTTTCCAATTAGTCGGGTGGTTGAAGCTGCTCCATCTAAGGTCATTGTCCTCCCGGCTTCAGGTACTGAATTGCGCGTTCAGTTAAGAGAACAGGACATAACATGGATGGATTTTCTTTCCAATGCGAAAACCCATCTGAGGTAAATTGTTTACATCTCTACATTTGCAATCACTTGGAGAGTGTAGATGAGACATGCCCCAATTTGGCTTGCAGTGGAGAGAAGTACTATCGTCCGATTTATCTACCTGTAGACTCTGTGATTAACATTCTCTTCTCATCTGGAACTACAGGTATAAATAATGTGATCAAATTGTAATACATTTGTTTAGATGCATCTATTGATTTGTTATTTTTTTTTAAACAGGTGAACCGAAAGCTATACCGTGGACACAGCTCTCGCCAATTCGTAGTGCTTGTGATGGATGGGCTCATCTTGATGTCCAAGTGGGTAACACATATTGTTGGCCTACAAATCTTGGATGGGTGATGGGACCAACTCTTATATTCTCCTGCTTTCTAACCGGTGCAACACTTGCTCTCTATCAAGGGTCTCCTCTTGGACGCGGTTTTGGAAAGTTTGTTCAGGCAAGACAGAAATCTCCATTGTTACCTCCTTTTCAATCTTGGTAATATTCGATAAAGCCGCACTTATTTGTGCTTGATATTACTTCAGGATGCTGGAGTTACGGTTCTTGGTACTGTTCCCAGCTTGGTGAAAACTTGGAAGAGGATAAACTGTATGGAAGGGCTTAATTGGACAAAGATTAAGTGAGCAACAAACCTCTGTTTTTCGGGTTTATACGAGAAAATTTAACTTAGAAGCTGTTGTGCTTTGTTAGGTATTTCGCCACTACAGGAGAAGCTTCCAATGTTGATGATGTTCTCTGGCTTTCTTCTAAAGCTTATTACAAACCTGTGATCGAATGCTGTGGAGGCACGGAACTCGCTTCTTCATACATCATAGGAAGCCCGCTTCAACCGCAGGCTTTTGGAGCGTTTAGCACACCATCCATGACAACTAGAATCATCATCTTCGATGGAAATGGCTTCCCATATGTGACAAACTGAAACTTTAGAAATTTGGGGTATTTTCTAAGAATATCCAGAGATTGATTGAGAATGGTTTTTGCAGCCGGATGATCAACCATGTACTGGAGAAGTCGGTTTGTTCCCCCAGCACCTCGGGGCCACGGATAGACTTCTGAATGCAAACCATGACGAGGTTTATTTCAAGGGAATGCCAATGTATCAAGGAACAGTGAGTAGTTTTAGAACTTCTATATTTACATCTAAACCAAATTGCAAACTGACAGCACTTAAATAATTCCTCTGTTCTGTTCCGTTCTGCAGCAACTTAGAAGACATGGTGACATTGTGAAGCGAACCGTAGGAGGATATTACAATGTTCAAGGAAGAGCTGATGATACCATGAACCTTGGAGGCATTAAGGTATAACATTGTATGTGAGCTTTGATTGTGTTGTAATTTTTCCAAGTTTTCACCTCTTGTATCTCTGTTATAACGCAGACGAGTTCTATTGAGATCGAACGGGTGTGTGATCAAGCCGATGAGTGCATCTCTGAGACAGCTGCAGTCAGCTTAACACCACCTAACGGTGGTCCAGAGTTGCTGGTCATATTCGCCGTCTTGAAAGAAGGGTTCAAGAAACAGAGTGAGGAAGAGCTAAAGATGAAATTTTCAAGAACCATTCAAAAAGATCTTAATCCTCTCTTCAAGGTAATTAATATCTTTGATGAGTTTTTCGCAAAATCAACGTTACGAAAAGAGTTTTTGTCTGCTTAAAAAGTGGATTTTGCAAAAAACTTGCAGGTGAGTTTTGTGAAGATTGTGCCAGAGTTTCCAAGAACAGCTTCTAACAAGTTACTGAGAAGAGTCTTGAGAGATCAGATGAAGCAAGAACTACTATCATTTCGGAGTCGAATATAATTAAAGCCTTGATCTTTTAAGTTTAATTAGAATGAAATCAGTTAGTAACTGTGATTGTTTAAGTGAAAATAAAATCTGCTGAGAAGTAGTTGATCTACACATGGTTAAGTATTGCTCGGTCCAAATAATAAAATCGATTATATCAAATCTACCGGTCAATTCACTTGAATTTATCAAATTAGAATCTTCCATAAACAATTGTTTTTGTTTAAATATGTAAAAATATTTCGAACGATACATCCCATAAGGCTCGAGACAAATGAATAGTGTAATCCATTTCTTTAAAAATCTATGGGACCGAAAGACATTTAGATCATTTGCGGTGTAGCTATATCGTGATATACAAAATCTAGGAAATATATGGTAAAACCATAGCATTGGTTGGTTCATTTGATTGATGCAAGTCAAGCGAACTCGAAAGAATAAGATCTTAGTACCATCATATTACATGCTAAAAGCTCAAACATGAAAAAAAAAAACACTTGATATTAAAAAAAAACAGCTTAGAGAAAACTCTTTTATGATGCTTGTGGTTGAGGAAAAAAAAATTGAATTTGAACCATAGTGAAGTGAAAATAATGATTTGGGCCTGACTAAAACATATTGGGCCTAAAAAAAATTGGTAAGAGCAAAAAAAAAAAAGAACCCTAAAGAGCGCGTTTGGATCTGGTTTTATGAAACCACGAGAGATTTCGTGTTGAGATGAATTTTTCTATGTATTGAAGATTTTTGATCAAAGGAGAGATATAAACCTCGCAACAACAAGAGAAGATCGAGCTAGAAATTGACAACGTCTTCCGATTTCGAACGCTTCAAGACGATGATTTTGGGGTTATAGCTTATAATTTGTAGAAAAAAAAGGATTGAACTTGTTGTATCTATTCCCCAAGTTATGTGGACTAATGTTTTCAGAATTGTAAGTCTTCTTCTATCATCTTTTTTCCTAATGTGTGAAAATTGGTTTTGAGAATTGACTAATTCGTTATACATGTTTTTCAACAGGGTGGTCTACATAATGTTTCTTGGTTTCAGTTGCTTCCAAGTGAAACTGAGCTGAATCCTGGTTCTGATAGAAGGTTAAAGCTTTAAGCTTTTTCAATGGGTAGTTTTAGTTTTTACTTAATGAAAGTGTACTAATTAGTCTGGTCACTTTGGAGTTTTTTTTCAGTTCAAGAGCTGAGCAGAATGATGTTGCAACATATCTTGTGCTTTCCTCTCATCTACGCTTGCAGAAGGAAGGGTTTCTTACCACTTGGACCAATTCTTTTGTTGGACCTTGGGATCCATCTCAAGGTTTATATAACCCTGGTAATGCTAAGTCGCAATCTGGCACTTTTAAATTTTGTAACTTTATAGTTGTAGCTGACCATCATTCCTTGTTGCTGCTCAGATGAAAAGATTAAGCTTTGGCTTTTTATACCTGGGCGTCATTCATCAATCACTGATAAAGCTCAGGCTGCTGTGTCAAAGCTTAGAGGTATATTTTCCTTATGATTTATTCATCTTTTTTCGCCTCAATATATTCAAACGTATTGTCTCTATTCTGACTATGAGTGTTTAGTGAACATACCTGTGGTCTATGGTTATCTTGGTATACATGTCCTTACTTTTCTTTTTCTCCTGTTGAAAGTTGTTGCGTCAGGAATTTGGGTAGCACCTGGGGACTCTGAAGAGATATCAGTTGCCTTTTCACAGTCTTTACGTAATTGCATTGAAAGGTTAGTTTTTTTTATTATCTTTAGACGTAATGGATTAAAGTATCATATTAACTTGTTTGATATTGCGACAGAGCATTATCTGGACTTTCCTACATGAGATTTGGAGATGTGTTTTCCAAATTCAGCCCTCAAAGCGAAGAATATTTGAGGTATCTACAACCTCTTACCATCTAAGCTAGATTATGTGTTATAATCGCTGAGTTTGTTTATTGACCTGTTACCTTTTAGCTAATATATCTTCTTTTGTTTTTCTCTCTCTGGCTTTTCGATTATATCTCATCACATAGCTTTCATTAAATATGGGTCTGTGAGACCTTAGTTTCCTGCGTGTAATTGTTAAAATCGAAAGAAGTCTATGATTAGGTCTCTGGCTCATCTTCTGACTAATGCTCCGTGGATATTTATGCAGGAGGGGACAGCCTACTGTTGAATTCATCTTTGCTGCTACCGAAGAGGCAGTTTTTGTCCATGTCATTATATCTGCCAAGTCTGTAAAGCTTTTTGTTATACATGTTCCAAGTTATGGTTTAGTACTTCACCTAGTTATTGAAACTAACTGTAATTTTTTATGCACAAAGGAATGTCCGCACACTTTCAAGTGGCGATGCTGAAAGAATGTTAAGGAGTTCTTTGAAAAACTCCAGTTATAGGCTTCCAGGTTAGTCATGTTTCCATCATCATTTGGAATGATAAATTATCCTACTTGTCTACGATTTTGATGGAACTAGTTCTAGATGTTAGTTGACCTCTTCCTGCTGTGTACTGTTATAATACTGTATAGATTGAGAGCATGAGACTTTGAACTCAATTTCAATGCATCCACTCCGAAAAAGCTAGTGTAGTCTAGTGCTACTGTTACCTAACTTCATCGAGCAAAGACTTAGCATCTCATTCTTTTGCATTTCACAAGAGCTTTTCTGTAATGTTTGGGGTTGGCCAAGAGTGGGGATAATAGATTATGCTACATGTAATTCTATGAAGCCAAACTTTTTGAATTGATACCTGAAATAATATCCGCCTTCTACACATGCTTCTTGAAAGATAAGAGCTTTTTATTTGATAGAAACACTTCTCACAGGCTTATGTTATTCCCACCAGTGATTGTTTCTCCTCATGGAATGCGGGGCAGCCTCACTGGATTCTGTCCCAATGACCTTGTCAAGCAAGTTTACTTCAGGTACAATTCACACCTTTGCTTTCCAATGTCCAAGTCAACATTTTTGTGAAGTGCATAGCCGTTATTTTGATGAATCCAATTTCTCAACTAATGTTTTTTTTCTCACACAGTTCTGGCAACTTAAGGACTTCGAGTGGATATGTTGGTCTCCCTTCTCATGTTGGTCGTGGGTCCTGTCTGATAAACGGCAATCATTGCTACGTGGAAGTTACACTTGGTTGCTGCCAAAATAAAAATGGCAACACAAGTCAAGCTAATTCGAACTTTGCAGTTAACTTACCCCATAATCAGTGTCCTGAACCTTCAGTTGGGAGTAAAGATCACCGTAAAGGACAACCAGATCTTTTATCAGTTTGTGAAAAAAAGTTCATTTATCCAGCTGAGGCAGTGCTTGTGCCAATCTTACAGTCGGCATTTGCTAAATTTTCTTTGAAAAGGTAAATTGACTTGGTGAGGAGGTTATTTAGAATTCATTGAGTACTTAATGGTAAGATCCAGATTGGCTATACAGAAATTTATTTCGTTTCTGTTGAATTTCATGTATGTATTAAGAAAAATTGACTGTGTGATCATAGTGAAAGGGTTATTAGGAATTGTCTCAGACCCATGTTAAAAAGATGTAATACTTATGATCTTTCCTCAGCTTGGAGCTGATGCAAGGTGAAATCATACTTGCAGATTTTGGCTTCAAAACTGGATAGGCCCGTCACTAGCAGGCTCATCGTTATTTATGCACTGGTGAGTCTTTTTCTTCTATCTCGTCTACATTTAAACCTCAAAAGAAATCCACAAAACTGTGGTCTGGAAATGCCCTAACTGTTCTGAGAAACCGAATGTTTTGTAATCTTCATTATTTGAAGCTCCGTAGGAGTGAGAGCTGTGGCATTTCCGAGTTTTGTTCCAATATTATGCGTAACGGTCCATGATCCCTGAATATGTGAACTTGATTTTATGCAGGGCTGGTGATTTTGACTTCCTTGGAGCGTCTGAAAATAAGAGTGATGGGTTTTATGAAAAGAATGGTTACAATAGCAGTGGTAGTAGCCGTAATAGCAGCATTAGTTCAACAAGTAGCGCTTCCAGCGGGAGTGGCTGGAGGATGACGTCAAGAACTGGTGACCTTGACGCTGATGCAGATTCTTTGACGTGTAGGCAATCTGGTCTTACTTCTAATGATGATCGCCCAAAAATGGTATGACTTTTATCTATGGAAAGGGTGGAGTTTGCATGATACTGATGAGGAAATTGAATTGTCGATTGTAACACTAACGTGCTCGATACAATAAATCAACATCTTATAAGTAACTTAACATTCTTTGCAGGGTTCCAAGCGACCGCGAACAGGGATGGCAGAGTCATTCGGTCAAGTAGGTACTGTCACTGATGCACCTATTCAAGAAGCATACAAGTCAGGATTCGTTTCCACTAAAACTAATAAGCTGGTGTTCCAGGCATTGAAAATGATCAAATTGGTTGGGATTGGGATGCTGACGATGATGATGATGACAGAGAAGTTGGCATGGATATTAAGGCCCTTCTTTCGGAGTTTGGAGACTTTGGTGACTTCTTTGAGAACGATGCTTTGCCTTTCGGGGAGGTAATTCTCGTCTTCTGTTACCTATCATAATATTAATCAAGAAACTATTATCTGCATTCCATATGCTGGTGAATGATATGTAGGTCCTGCATAAGCTCAGATATCTAGACTGTTTCTCAGAGATGTTTGGGAGGAAGGGTTGTCTGCTTCCCTTACCCCATTCCTGCCATGCCTCTTATTGTGTTTCGCTCATATTGCCTTTGGTGTCAATTCTTATATAATATAACACCTTATGTATTATGTTTGTGTAGCCACCGGGAACTGCAGAGTCGCATGCGCTCATTTTCCCTCCAGATTCTGCTGATGTAGGTTCCAGTCCAGTGGATATGATGGATGTATCAGACCAAATCGTTTTGCCTGTCGGGTTTTCCTCTTTTGAGAGCTTTAATCCTGTTCCCCCTATCATTGATGAGTGCCTTATTAAAAGTCAAGAAGTTCTCAACAGCAGTATCACTTCAGTTCCTTCATATCAAATGTCGATCTCTTCCACTAGTGAGTTCGATCATTTAATGAAAGCAGAGGCGATGATGACCTTCGCTCCTGAGTATGGAGCTGTAGAAGCACCTATGAGCGAGATTTCCTCGACGTATTTCAAAAGCCCATATCTTCCCAAATCTCATAAAGTGGAGAGTTCAAATTCAAGAACAAGTAATTATGTTTATGGAGCCACACCACCTACCACTGATTCTGATGGAGCACGCAATAAGATTTTGTTTGGATCAAAATCGTGCATTGGTAACAATGATGGCAGAACTTTGTTTCATTCGAGGGAGCATTACACTCAAGTAGAGGGTAGAAAGGACCAACATGATAAGCTACCTACTGTTATCAGTGACAACAATAGTACAAAGGAGGGTGTCTCTCATTCAAAACACTCAAAACATAGTGCTGCGAATGCTGTTAAGGTCGTGCAGGGGAAAAAGACTGATGGTATATCTGCTGTTGTTAGAACCTTATTATCTTCTAAGACCTTGCTGGCAACAGACGTGGGAAACGTTATGTTCCAAGCTTTCATGTGTAGGATGCGGCACACTTCTTCAAAGCACAGTTCACCTGTTAGTCTGACTAGGCTTAGCGGAAACTTTTTCCTGAACCAGCTGCCAAATGAGCCTAGTACTCTGACAGACAACATATCTGCAAGGAACGAGATATATAAGAAAGATATACCTACCAGAATAGCTGGAGATTTTGACGGAGGAATGTTGGATAGCCACATGAGTGCACCAGTTGGTGTATGGCGGACTGTTTCAGTCCCAAAAACAGCAAAACCTGCTAGTTCGCCAAATATTGAAGCAGGGTCATCCTTGCCCCATAGTTCATTTAGCGAAGACAGCTTACTTTCTTATGGTCAAAGGCAACCTCTGCATGAGCTCCTAGATGGAATAGCGCTACTTGTACAGCAAGCTACCTCTTTTGTTGATTTAGCTCTGGATTCAGATTGTGGAGATGGACCTTATGGCTGGCTTGCATTGGAAGAGTTATGGAGACGGGAATTGTCGTGTGGACCCTCTGCTGGCCATGCAGGTTGTGGGGGAACTTTGGCTTCCTGCCATTCTCTGGACATTGCTGGTGTCAAGCTAGTTGATCCACTCTCTACTGAGGTAAGCTTTGAAAATGGTGTCAGATGCATGGAAATGAGGCTATCCAATGTCTTTGACATTCTTAATTGTTAGTTTGGGCTAGAAATATTAAGTGGTCACAGATTTGCCATATAAAAGTTTGAGCTTTGACCAAAAAAAAAAGAAAAAAGTTTGAACTTGTTGATATTTCTCTTGCTGCTACGTCTTTTCTTTTCTGGTCGACTGTAGGTTATACACAATGATACATTCTGTCAGTTTAAACTTGATTATGGAGCTTTCTTTTTTATTCCAGGTTTTCCCTTCGTCTGTCATTACTCTACTGCATTCTGACATCAAAACAGCTCTGAAATCTGCATTTGGTCAGTCAGATGGTCCATTATCTGTGACAGATTGGTGCAAGGGCCGAAATCAATCGGGGGATGGAGGATCTATTTCTGAGGGATCTACTGCTGAGTCAGCCCTGAGTGAAGGTAGATCGTTTATTCTGATTATTTCTCAGTCTCACGCTTGCTTTTCATCTCCTTGAACTCTACTGTTTCCACTGTGGTTTTAATTGATATCCTAGAGTGAATGGTGTCAAAATCTCTGATGGTTCTATTATTAATAATATCTTGGCAAACAAGCAGTGTCAAATGCAATAGATGGTGGGAAAGGAGAGGAGACGGCTCAGAGCCTAGACATATACAGTTCAGAATTACTCCGACCGACACTGTTTGTTCTTCCATCACCTGCTATACTTGTCGGGTATGTATATACATGTCTGTCTGTTATATTAGCAGTCTTCCTTCAAAAAGAATTTGGTCTTGATCAAGATGCCCTTGTGGTCGGGTTATTTAATGAAGTATTCATGACTTCCTTTTTAGGATATCTTAGAATTTGATTACAGGCTGTATTGCTGGAGATTTAGAGCTCTCGTTATGTATGCATCTTTTTCCTGTGACAGGTACCAAGATGACTGGCTTAAGATATCTACAAACTCCTTGCCACATTGGGAAAAGGCCCCGTTTGAGCCATATGCTCTGCCAAAAAGTGTGAGTTTTTAGGATATTTTTCTGAGAGATATGCTTTTGTCTTCCTGCAAATTAGTCCTAGTGATAATCTTCTTCATTAAGATAACTGATTTTGTTCTTTGCTACCTTTCACAGATTAACTATACTGTTGTATGCCCGGATATTGATCCTTTAACTTGTGCTGCTGCTGATTTCTTCCAGCAACTTGGAACTGGTGAGTCAACGAGTTTATCTATTGTGAAAGAGGTTATGCTCAAACATGATAGGAACTGGTTTCTGTTAAAAAATGTTTCTAGTGGAACAAAGTTCTGATATTGTCTCATCATTTTCTTCTAATGTACCTTTTGGTGCATAGTGTATGAAACGTGCAGGCTGGGAACCCATTTGCCACAGAGCCTGGGAAATCAAATGGATACGGACGCTGGAAGATTATCCTCATCTGGATTTGTTCTGCTTGATTGCCCTCAATCAATGAAGATTGAAAGCAATAACACATCGCTTCTGGGATCTCTCAGCGATTATTTTCTATCATTGTCAAATGGGTGGAATGTGAATAGCTATCTGAAGTCTTTATCAAAAGCGCTGAAAGGTCTAAAGCTTGGATCTTCCCTTTACACAAACCAGAAAGAAGGATCAGGAAGTCCTTGTATGGTAAGTATGAGTTAGAAAATACATATGTTAAGTGAGATAAGTATTTTTATGACTTCTACCAAGTGTAGCTGTTGATACTTGTTGACTCGACTTTTCTTATAGGTAGTGTACATAGTGTGTCCATTTCCTGATCCTTCAGCAGTTTTAAGGACGGTCGTCGAATCGTCTATAGCACTTGGATCAGTAATACAGTCAGATAGAGAGAGGAGATCAATACTCAACAGTCAGGTTGCAAGGGCGTTTGGTAGTTCTACTGCTGTTGACGAAGCATCAATATCTCACATTCCAGTGCTTTCAGGGTTTAGTGTCCCCAAATTAGTTCTACAAGTGGTGTCGGTTGATTCTATTTTCCGGATAACAAGTCCAAGCTTTAATGAGCTCGTCATTCTCAAGGATACTGCTTTTTCTGTATACAATAAAGCTCGGAGAATTTCACGAGGAATGCCTAATGATGCAATTTTCTCATCATCTTTATCAAGCAGATCCTCTTCAGCGTTGACATCGATGAGCTCTATTTCAGGAATCTGGAAAGACTGCGGTGGTTCTCGAATGACAGGTTCTACACATCCAAGAGATGGTGACATTGATGTTAGCTTGAGAACGAGTGGTTGGGATACCTCTACTTCCTGGCAAATACCAAGATCTGGAGGACTAAGTTGCGACCCAAGCAGAAATGGAGATTTTTACCTTAATGATGAAATTTTCTATTTATTTGAACCACTTTTCATTCTTTCCGAGCCTGGTTCTGTGGAGCGTGGTGTTTCACCTACTTTCGGCAGCTTGGGTTCTGAGTCTTCCAAGCCAATACCCGAGGATGGTGGCAGAGGTTCTGGACCTGGCATGAATTCAATGGAAGGTATAACATCGGGATCAAGCTCCCAGGGGGATGCATCCCAGCTCGAAGGAAAGGCTATTCCAAGTTTACATTGCTGCTACGGTTGGACAGAGGACTGGAGATGGCTTGTAAGCATCTGGACGGATGCCAGGGGTGAATTGCTTGACACACATATCTTTCCCTTTGGTGGAATCAGCAGTAGACAGGATACAAAAGGGCTGCAGTGTCTTTTTGTTCAAGTTCTGCAGCAGGGATGTCAAATACTACAGGCGTGTTCCTCCCCTGACAATGGATCTTTCAAACCCAGGGATTTTGTCATTACACGCATTGGGAATTTCTTCGAGCTTGAATACCAAGGTAAATTAGCTTCTTTTACCCTTAGATTCTGTTCTTAATCTGATATTTCATCTCGCTCTTATTCCAATTGCGCTTGGGAATATAATTCTCTACTATTGCATGGTACATAACCCTGCTATTGTTGTCTGCTTGCGACTGAGATAACAGAGTGGCAAAAGGCTATTTACTCAGCTGGAGGTCCTGAGATTAAAAAGTGGCCTATTCAACTGCGACGTTCTGCGCCTTCTGGCATAGCCACCAACAGCAACGGATCTTCCTTGCAACAGCAGGATCTGAGTCTGATTCAAGAGAGAGCCTCATCAACTAGCACACTCTACAGCTCTCATTCAAAACCATCCACCTTTGTGAAAGGCAGTATTGGGCAATCTGCTGGAAGAAAGCAGATAATGGGTGGGCAAACCATATCTGGTACTCCAAGGGGATTATTTCAGTGGGTTCACAGCATCAGTTTTGCTTCTGTTTCACTTGATCACTCCCTACATTTTGTTCTTCCAGCTGAGTTGGTGTCTGCTGGTCAGTTTTCTTATTTGTTTTCTTTTGTTCCCCGCATTTCGCTCATATGTGTGATCAATTATAAATTTTCATAAGATATGGAGCAAGACACTGACTTGCATGGTTATATGCACAATTATGCAGGAGGTGGCCAGAATAGTACTGGTATGAGTTCTGTTAACTACATTGAAGGTTTCACTCCTGTCAAGTCTCTTGGGTCTACCGCTTTCTCTTACATGATGATACCATCACCCAACATGCGCTTTCTTCACCCAAGTCCTCTTCAGCTTCCTACATGTTTAACTGCCGAGTCACCTCCACTTGCTCACCTCCTTCAGAGCAAAGGCTGTGCAATCCCCTTGTCTACTGGATTTGTTGTTTCAAAAGCTGTGCCTTCCATGAGAAAAGACTCAAGAATAAACATGAAAGAAGAATGGCCATCAGTTCTTTCTGTAAGTCTCATAGACTATTATGGTGGTTATGACAATGCTCATGACAGAATTCTTCAGGGAATCATGAAGCAGGGAGGAGGGACCAAAGAAACTAGAGATTTTGAGGTTGAAAGCCATCTTATCCTTGAGTCAATTGCGGCAGAACTCCATGCTCTATCATGGATGACTGTTAGTCCAGCATATCTGGACAGGCGGACGGCATTGCCGTTTCACTGTGATATGGTTCTGAGATTGAGACGTCTGCTTCACTTTGCAGACAAAGAACTAAGACAGGAGTTTAAAACAATGCAAAAGAATGCAGATCACTAAAGTTCTCTATCAGAAGATTAGACCAATCTTTCTGCAAACTTCATCCTGCACCTCCCGAATAGTCTTGTCATATTTAAGGCGCGTAGGTATCTCGGGGTAGTTCACCAGTGATATATATGTTACAACGAAGTAGGAAGAAATGGTGTAGATGTAGTAGATGTAGTCGAGGTTTTGATTTGGTGCTTATGAAATCTGTAAAAATTAGCATTTAAGGCTTGCTCTACTGGTTCTGATTCACTTAGGTGCATAGGTTAGTTTCTTTATAACCCCTTGTATTTGTAATTCAACATTATTTATCATCCCACTGTAAATTTAGCAAGATAATTCATATGGGTTTCTCAGGGCTGACTTATGTTCTTGTAAAATTTTGGTACCTTAAGCTGAACATCATGTTTCTCTCTTGATCAGTCACATAATGGATCCTGACTGTTGTATGAGTTGTGTAGATGAAAATTCTGACAATAGACTCAGGTTTTCAGAGTCTCTCTTTGTCTGCCCCGGGACCATCTTGATGCTATCTGTTGTCAGCTTACAGATTGCAACTTCCTCAGGTGTTGCTACCGTTTCTTATCTGGTAAGCTACGTAACTTATCTCTAGATTTTGCTATAAAAGAACTGGTATAATCAGTGTCTTCATCCATTGAACTTGTGATTTTCAGGACACATAAGAAGAAATGGAGAGCAAGTAAATGGACGATAAAAGCAGCGGCCATTTACAAAGGCGTTTTCTCTCTCTCTCTCTTTCCAGGCGAAGCAGGAGCACTTAAATGCTATGGTATGGTCCCATTCTTACTGCCGGCCACTTTCTTCTATGCATCACATGGCTTAAACAGATTCTCTGTCTAAATCGTCCCACATACCCAATCTTACCCTTAAGTTTATTCTATTATATATAAAAGACGAAGTAAGGTTTGGTTAGATGATATAAAGTATTGGAAGCTTATTGGATGGGTGGTTTGGTATGAAAAGTTGCCTATGAATGTTTTTACACTTATGTCTTGTTATTGGAACTTGCTCACAGTCAAATGCTTTGTATTTAGGATTAACCTTATAGGTATTGGCACTCATATTTGTGATTTAGATTATGTTTTAGCCCTAAAGTCAACAGCATTGATCAGTTTGCATCATTAGCTTTGATTTTCCAAATTTGTTTCTTTATGATAGAGCAAGAGAATGTTTATTCTGGTTTCTATCTCGAGTTGCATATATGATTATTGCAATTTTATGTGATGTCATTTATTGTGGGGATATCTTTTCTGAGGTGAGTCACATGGGAACTTATGTTGCCTTAAGGCACCATAACGACATCATTATAATCATGATGACGATGTCACATCATAGTTGCCCCCACACAACCATCTAAATACAGCTCATCACATCATTGATTCCATCGACCCTTGAGACAATTCCAATTTCCAAAGTATCATCTCTTATTGATCCTTGTGTGAACCCAAATCCCTGAAATCTGATATTTTTGTAACTTCCAAGACTGGTTATGTAATGCCTTTTGTTGAATTAAGATAACAAGGGCCATAAGCACACCAAGTGTTAAAATAAACGATCTCATAAACAGTCTGATGAATTGATGATACACATAGATACATAGAGAAACAGATGGTTACATTAAGAATGCAACGTTCTAAACAATAGAATCAAATCACACAAACTCATTAACAAATACAATTAAATAATGGAGAATAAAAAGAATGATCAAAAGATGAAACCAGATGCCAAAGCAACAACAGATGCAAACAATGCTGGTACAAACATAGCAGCATCAGAAGTTGGGCTTGGAGCTGGAGCTTCCACGGTGGCAGCCGCCGCAGCTGAAAAAGCCACCGCAACAACCATAACAAACATCATCATCTTCATCTTCATTGCCTCCATACTTCTCCTTTGATGTCTTGAAATAAGAATTTTTTTAAGAGAAAGATTTTGTTATTCTTGTTTGGATTTGTCTGTGTTGTGATGATAATAGTTGTGGGGATGGTATTGTCTATTTATACAACAATTGTATGAGATTTTACAGCTGGCAAATTGGCTGTCTCTTGGCCCAAACCACATTCTTCTTTTTCTCAACCACTGTCCTTTTTTCTTTCCAACCTCACAATAATATTTTTTACTAATTTTTCTTTTAATTGTAATAAATTTTGTATTTGTGTCTTCACATGAGTTGTTCAAAGGATAAGAAGTTACATCTAACTTTGTTAGTGTATTTAAAAAGTTTATATTCTCCTTATTTTTAAGATTAGCTATTACTTAGTGCTATTAATATAACCAAACTCTAGATGAGATTTAGAAGAGCCAAGTAAAAAAGTTATATTCTTCTTATATTTGGAGATTAGCTTTTACAAGTAATAAATAACCAAACTCTACATAAGATTTACAAAAGCAAAGTACAATAAAACTTCTATAAATTAATAAATTATTTCCAGTCTCTGATTAATTTTTATCAATTAATATCTTTATAAATTAATAAAATATCTTAGTCACACATTATTAATTTATAGAGGTTTTACTTAGTTTGCAAGCAAATTTGCTAAGTTTTAACAATAAACATATGATATACACATAAGTATTTTCATCAAAACTATATTTTAGAATACTCCTTTTCCTTTTATAAATTTTTTTTTAGAGACAATCACTTTATTCATGTAATGTTTCTGATTGCACTAAAGGGTCAATTAGCCGTTTTAGTGTTTCCTTGAAATTAGTGATGTTAATATCAACGTTCACACCAAACTATGAAAATGACCAACTACCCCAATTACAAAAGAAAAGAATTAGTATATCAGTAACATGCTTTTAAAAATCATATACAAAAAATCAAACTGACCAAAGAAGAAGATAACAAAATAAAATAGCTGGAAAAGCTTACAAATACCAAACATACAATTATGCATAATCATATGCATAAGGCTGGAATGCTTTTGTGGACCCTAACACCATAACATACGAAGTCTTTGTTTGTTACTCTTGTTTTCGAATTTTGAAGTTAAAATGAGTTATTCACTCTCTTTTATTTTGGTTTTTTCATAAGTACTATTCACTAACTACATTTAATTCTCTCCTTCCGGTTTCGTGTTTTTAAGGAATTAGAAGTAAGTAGTAACCGTTTGAGATTTGAATTAGCAAGTAATTTGAACAAGGCCGCAACGAGATTTAAAAATAAAAGTGTAAACTTTTCCGACCAAAGCATAATAATGAGTTCCAAGGTGGAACTTTAAAATCTAGTGGACCGTTGGTGAGATTCAAATCTCGTTGTTCAAAAATATGTATGTTTTGAAAACTCCGTTTGCCTCCTTTTTACGGCTTATTATGAAGTTATAGACCAACACATATAAACCTTTTTTAAGAATAAATTATTGTAAGATAAATAAATGTGACTGACCACAAAAGAGACAACACAAAGCCGTTTGGAATTTCAGAAATATATGCATAGAGCCACAATTACATTTTAAGAACTTTAACAAAATAATTCTTTTAAGAAAAAAGTTCTTATATATATATATGTATTGGTGAGTGACTACTGGACTAATGCAATTTTCTTTTACAATGCGAGATACATAAATATAAGACTTGTACATATTTAACTTTCAAGTTCTTTTTATCTCTCCCAAGTTAAGAGTATTATTTATCTATTTATATAGAAGAAAAAAGGAACTACGATTCTTTTACTCTATGCTAGGCTTAAGAGTGATTGAAATCTAGATGTCTGCGGTTATGTGTGAAGGGTATACTGTCAGTTTCAGATCAAATATTTGAAACTCATTGGGCTAGATTGCAAGCTAGCACTCCAATGTCTATATATTCATATTTGAAAAGAGAACATTACATTTATTATAAAAAATAAATATATCAAAAATGGAGATAATTACTCAAGAAGAAGAAAAAAAAAAAGCTATACTAGTAAGTTAGTAGTAAACTATATAAATGATGAAATCGGAAAATTTAAAAAATTCTGTGAAAAGCCTCACTACCAAAGCCCAAATATTGAGCCCTATATTATTAGCCCAAGTTTGGATATAAGGTTTTGAAAAGGGTTTAAACTTAATCACACACGCACCTTTCGAGCGTGACATTCACCGCCCTGTAAAAGCCAAAGGCGATTTTGGTTAGATCTGTGAAATCAGATGTCATTGGCGCGTGGGACAAAATCTTTTTACTGTCTTAACGCAAAATCTTATTTTGGATCTTCTCGCCAGACATATGGCATGGTGTTTATTATCCGCTGAAACCGTACTAACGTGTACTCGACAAAAATAATACACGTGTCATAATATGATTTGTTGGTATCCCATAACGAGTTCTCTTTATCAAAAACACAACAGGTTTAGGCTTTTTAACTTCTATAGAAGCCCATCTCACCGTCAATTTTGTATCTGACGGATGTTATCAATCACATTATTTTTCTCATTATTAAATTAAAATGAGCAACAATAAGGAAAAATGGTGAGCGTCGCAGTAAAGACCAGAGAGGGTAAGCAGTTTTTATTTCTTTTGTGTGTGTGTGTGTTTAAAGAAGATAGATAAACAGTGTTTCGATCTTCTGGTCTCATCGAGATATTAAAAAAAATCCAGAAAACAAATTCTGAATTATTTTTTGTGGAGTTTGAATCTCTCTATCTTTCGAGAGAAACAACTTTTTCTTTCTTTTTTTTTTTCTCTCACCATTTTACCTAATAATTCATCCAAGTTTCTTCTGTCTTTGGTTTCATCAAGTTTCACTCTTGTAAGTGTTTATACTCTTGTTTCTGTATATATTTGACTGTAGAGGTATATACAATGGTGTGTTTGTGTTCTATGTAAATATTGAAGAATCGATTCTGCAGTAAACACTATCTCTGATTTATAGATTTTAGTCTCTTTTTTTTTTCTGATTTGTTTATACTGTTTTTGGATATTGCTGCTTTGTAGGGTGATTCTTGAAGCTAAGTCGCTGAGTTTAAGTTGCAGATCTTGAGGTTAGTGAGTCTTGTTTCTACCAATTAGTTCTGATTTGTCTTTTTTTTTTTTGTTATCTGTGGTTTATTTCAATTAGTTGTTAGAAATCAGAAACGTGTATGATGATTGTAAACAGAAATTTTTTCCCCTTTTGTGTGCATTTAATCTATAATAAAAAAAGCAGGAACTTTCTTAGTGATTGTTCTAGATTTGTTGGTCTATTTCTGGAAGAGTTTCAATGTCTGAGTTTATGTTTCTTTGTTGGTTGTGTAAGGTTAAGAGAAAGGGAGTGAGTGTTGTGTAATGGAGGAGGTAAAGGGACAGAGAGGGAGTGGAACCACAGAGGCAGATTTTGTGTTGCAATGGGGAGAAAGAAAAAGAGTTAGATGTATGAAAGTGAAGAAAGATCAAAGCCTTGCAAATGGCAAATCAACTGATTGCTTGACTAAACGTAAACTCATTTCGCGTGCTGTCTCTTCTGAGAGAGGCTCGCCTTCTCGACATCTTAACCGTCCTAACAAGTAAGTTTGATTAGGGACAAACGGATGAAATGGTTTGTTTGTGAGTGATTTTTTTTCTAGTTTGCTTTATGTAAGAAATTGTTATGTTTCTGCGGTGATAGGATCACAGATTCTCTAGTCAATGTGCGGAGATCGTTTGTGGCGTCGCCTGAGAAGGAAGACAGGTATTACACAACTAGGGGTTCGATGGGTATAGATGAGAGTGGAAAAATTATTAAGGAACCTGTGAAAGAAACCAAGAAGCATGTGTGGCCAAAGTTGTTTATAACTTTGTCAAATAAAGAGAAGGAAGAAGATTTCTTGGCTATGAAAGGTTGCAAGCTTCCTCAAAGACCTAAGAAACGAGCCAAATTGGTTCAGAAGACATTGCTTGTGAGTCTCTTTGAAAACTTACCATTTGTATTCTTCATAACCACTTTTATCTCATGATTATGTACAATGCAGCTGGTGAGTCCAGGAGCTTGGTTATCAGATCTGTGCAAAGAGAGATATGAAGTAAGAGAGAAGAAGACTTCAAAGAAGGTATAAGATTTTTCTCTTTCTCGTTTCTTTGTGGATGTTAATGTTTATGTACTAGCAAAGAGGTGTGATACATTCATATTTTCATGTAGAGACCAAGAGGATTGAAGGCAATGGGGAGCATGGAAAGCGATTCGGAGTGAAGACTCTCACTAAAAAGAACTCAAAGAAATATTCAAGATTTTGGTGAGGGGTAGAATGGATGTATTTCGGTTTTTCATTACATTTTGAGATGCCTCTCTTCATTACTACAGGTTAACAATGAGGCACTTGTATTTTTGATGATGTTTTGCTTTCAAAGCTAATCTATCTTCTTGATCTGTCTCTTTTCTCACCTTTTGCTTGTTTGACTTGTTGATCTGCACATAGACAAATCATGTACACAACAACGATTGATGATGAGGAGTTCTAATCTCCATTTAGACATGGATGAGCGTGTAATGAGAACTCTAAACCCAGATTAAGAGATAGAGAGACAGTGAAAGATCGAGAGAGGTAGAGAGTGCTTATACATTAGAGTGGAAACGAAATCTGCACACAGATTAGTGTCTGGATATTACAACACACCAACCAAAACTGCAGCTACCACTACCGAGTACCAAACCTTTACCTAACAAGTCACAAGTCTCCTATTTCTCTCCTTGTTTCCTCAGTTATGAAGTAGTTATTCTACATTTAATAAATCTGTACTTGTCGCAATACCTACAAATGTACATTTGATGCGTGTCTCAAGATTGAGATGGAATGCCGGTTAGCCATGCCTGAAAAGCGCTTTTCTCCAGTGCAAGTTATCCTCTCAGCAGTTAGCTTCGTGGTACAAATCAGGACAATAACTAAAACATTTCATCCCGAGACTTCAAAGATTCACCAGATAATGTGATGGCCAGCTATCAGATCAGATGCTGTTAAGGAGAGAATTAAGTCCGAATGAGGAATAGTGAGGGAGAGGATCAGAAAAGAGCTATCTTTGCAGAAAGGTTAAGAAATTTACCTTCTATAATGTTCCGCTGATCGTGGGCAAACAAGTCTTAACATTGAGACATAAGCCGTCTGGTTCCTTACAACACAAGCACTTGGACGATATCATGGTTGATGAGAGAGCCATCTGACTATATGGGCACTACAAAGCTTCAAGAACAATGGATGCTTTTGTGAAGACTGAAAGGACAAAAGGTGCTTCTTCCCCTGGGTGTATAGTGGTTGGGACAATAGTATAACCCTTAGGATCAGGGTCAAGAACCATTTCGCATGATATCTCCCGGGAATTCACATAGTCTGTTCCACCAACAGATTCATGAAGAAATATGTTGTACGCAGCACGACGTCCACGAGTTTTAAGAATCCTCATTCCGATATAGAACAACTGTGAATCATGGCTTGATTGGTAGTTACGAAATCCAGGAGTTGTTCTTGAGAAACCTACGCCCTGTAAGTAACATTGGGAGAATGAGCTGAGGATAGTTACATAAGAATTTATAGATAGAAAAAGTTTTCATCAAGAAATAGCACGTGCCTGAGTTAAGGTGATGAACACATGAATTGGCAAAGATGCATCAGAACCAGTTGCCCTCAGCCTGAATTGTGGATTTTGATGCCATGAGCTATAATCTTGGCAGCCACCGGCACTATACCCTCGCCATTGGCCATGTACAGAGTAGCGCATCTCACGGGGGTAAACCCGACAAACATATATTGATCTGAAATGAATCTGGAAATCTTGCCAGGACATCCAGAATATACCTTCTTTTGACTGTTTAACAGAATGCACAGGATCAGTACGCAATATACTTTACTTGAACAAACCATAGCATAATTACATATATTTACACGCAACTATGTTTTGTCCATGTATGTCCCCTTGTTAACAGTAAAGCAAAATCTTTAACCAGTTTCTGAAGCTAGGCCCCCTAATCGGGCTAAAAGAATTCAAGGAACAAAAGAAATGAGCCGTAGAGAAGTGAAGGACAAGAGAAACTACCTGTGGAACATGCTTCAGCTTGTGCTTCATCCTATCAGTCCACTCTGGGGATGAGTCTGACCAGGGACCATTCCACTCAACTTCATTAGCCCATGGATTTCGGATCTGAACAAGTCTGTGCCCATCGACCTCTCTCACCTGAAGAAAGACAGTAAGTAAATATGTTAAATTGTGTTCTCCTACTCAGTATATCACAAATGCAACCAAAGTACCAGGGAATACCTGTAAGACGGAGTAAGCATGCCCTTGCACAATGCCACTGGAAGATACATGAACATCAGATCCTGAGGGACTTCCAGCACCAAGTAAGAACCCTTCTTGTTTAAAGCGTAACAATTGAGACCATAATCTGCCACTTGCAAGATCTATTTGTGCTTGAGCACTCCGCAAGTCAATCTCCTCACCAGCTCCTCCAGTTAGGTCGACAAGAGCATCCTGAACCAGTCCCCCCTCCAATGCCTCATAAGAACCATGGAGCTTGGCATATGCTTTCTCCACTATGGAGACCCAGAGTTCATTGAGCTTTTTGCTAGTAGCAAAAGCTGGTTTACCAGGTGATTCACATGGTATCCAGTCATCGATCACAACAGGAACCCACTCACCCTGCAAGGGGAAAGCAATCAAACTTGAAACCTCTGATTGTACATAAATCATAGAAGAACCTGCACGAATCTACAATCAAGAGAACCAAGCAGTGCCGTGAAAGAATGTTGGAGACAGGAACCTGAATACAAAAACGAACAGTGTAGATCCCTTCCTCGTTGTATTCAGGAGTAATGATCACTTCAGATATTCGTGAAACCTCTGTCAAAACTGCAACGGCGCTTAAGAACCAACAATCCCCCAAACGCCCCTATAGAACAAGTTAACCCAATCGCAAGAATAAATCTCTGGGATCATTTTGAATGATATGCATACAAGACAGTCACGAAAAAGTAAATGAACAGGAAAAGTAATTGATCAAACCTGGCAAACATCTGAAGGATTTGCATCCCCGGAGAACAGGCAGGGACGGGAATCACTACCGTTCTCTTTCACAATGGAGTCAGGTCTCATCCATTCAGAAACAACCTGAAATTATGACACTCAAAAGGTTAGAGTGCCCATCAAGTTGTTAACTTTACTTGATCTATGTGAAGGCAGATTTTGTGTCCAGATATATAATCACTTAAAGGAGTGAGGATATTTAACTAAAAACAGAAGAAAGGAGAAAAATTTTAACAATCCATACCTGCAATTTTGAAGGGGGATTTTGTGTATCCACAAATAAAGAGCGATCATTTGGAGGAAATTCCTGGTCAGTAAATTGCTTATCACCTCGTGCAGAGAGAGCTTCTTTGACAGCCAACTCAACTGAACGCATTCTTTGATTCATATCTTCTTGTGTCTCCATCCTGGGTTTCCTGTGTCTCCTAGCAAAGGAATCGACACTCATTACAAAATCCCGACCTGATCTTCTTTTCCTCCCACTGGAATATTGTCCATCCCAATCTACGTCATCCCTATCATAGAGATCAACATCGGCAGGATCACTATCCCAACCATCAACCTGGTAAAAAGAGAAAAAGGAATCAACAAAAATTAGTATGGGTTTTAACATTAGCCTCCACAAACATCGGACTGAAAAAAATATGCCAACATTCAACAGAAGAAAAACATACTCTAGGGGGTGAATCCGTCCATTGCCAATTGTCATCAGACAAATCAATCATGTCTAAGTCAGCCATGCCAATGACCGCATGCAAAGAAGCCGCCTCGTCTTCACTTAAACATTTCCCCCAAAGGAAAACATCCATAATATGCATCTTTGATTCGACTCCATCACTATCTGATCTCCCGAATGCATCAACATCTATAGGTGGCCTAACACCCAACCAAACTTCAGCTCCTTGTTCCCAAATGGCACTACCAATACTTAGGGGTAACCCAGTCTGGTAGCCATCAAACCCACCATCTATGTAACAAGTAGCTTCCCCCGCATCAGCATCAATTGTGATTGTCACTGTATGCCACCTGTGATTGAAACCACAAATATAAATATGACAGAAATCCATGATAAAATCAGAAACTTTTGCCAAACCAGATCATGAGAAATATGCATCACAAAAGTCCTCGAAATAAATTCTGCAATATGGAAACTGCGGGGGAAAAGAGTTAGACCTTCCATCAGTTATGCTGGTTGCACCAATATACCACTCTCTAGCCACGGTTGTCTGCCTCTCACCTTTTGTTATCAACCTAAGCCCAACTTGGCCAGCCTCAATTCCTTGCTCAGAACCAGCAACCAGAATCTCCCAACAGACTTTCTTTTGAAATTCAGTGCCAAAAAGACATACAGGTCCAGAATCGGATTGGATCATTGCTGTAACGGAAATGCTAATCTTCTGACTTTGACAGACACTTGAGTCCATTTGGCCGCAATGTTTACCACTTATCATAGGTTCATCATCAAGAACACAAACTGCCCCAGATATTCCAGTCTGGTAATAACTTTTCTTAGTTAATTCTCCAGCAATCAGCATCATAAGAAAGTACACTTGCAATATATAAAAATAAGTTTAGTTTTAACCTGTTGTGCGCGACGTTCTAGTTGAGCAGTGCGTATCCTACGTGCAATACCCGAGACTCTCTCTCTGGCAAAGGAATCCTCAAGGACAGAATCACCCCCAACAGCACGTATTGCAGCTGCCATGGCTGCTGCCTCCCTGCTACCAGCATTAGGAATAGATGGAATAAGGGAAGCTTCAATTTCCTTCCATTTGCGTTCTTCCTTCTCCAAAAGAGCTTTCCTTCTTTCTTTGCCTCTCCCTTCTTCTTCACGTCTCTGCATAAGGCTTTCCTCTTCCATCTCTTTTTCTCTCAGATAACTAAAGTTTACAACACAAAAGAAAATGATAGGCAACAGTGTAAGTGTTCAGCTTCATCAAACCACATAATTATAAGAAACTTGTACCTCTCTTGAATAATTTCAAATTGTCTTCTATCCTCTGGCTTCCATTTACTGATTTTTCTGGCACTTAAGTCCGAGAACCCAATGCTATCTAAGAAAAGCCGCAACCGTACCTCATCCTACAACATCGAGATAATCCTGTCTTAGACATACATAGAGAAGAATATATGAAAATTTAGAATCAGGATTCACCTGAACTCTCTCCGCCTTAGCAGTCAAACCTAACAACAGTAGTAAATAACCACCAAACTTGTCCCACATATACACCCATTCTGTATCAATTGCCTCTTCCAGCGCCAAAACTCTTGCATGGGCACACATGTCTCTTCTGTAATCTACATTTGTAGGTGGTTCATGACGGAATCCTTTCCTGCATTGCATTTTGTAGAAGATTGATCCAGCAACTCTTTCTTCGTTCCTGAGACGATCCCTTAATTTCATGACATCATCTCTAG